TTAAATTGGTCGAACCTAACCTACCAAAGTACCTACGAACAAAAAATCACCAACATCATATCAATTTCGTGAGCCACTACCATTTTTAGAACATCAGTTTTTGGCTTTACAGGATTTATATGTCAATATGTGATGTACTATTCAAGAGCATGGGTTCATTTATGACTTGTATGCTGGCTTTAGTAAGGTTACGTCCCATGTGTTTTAACAAGTTTTTCTGCACCGTTAAATCTGTGGAAATTTTCCAGTATTTGGTTTTTAACTCTTCACTGTGTTAGATAATGTTCCAGTGGTCTCTTCAGGATTTCTCCTCGATGCTGACATTCCCAAGCCTAATGTGGAGTATATAAATGTATACATTCCTCTCCCTTAGTTATAATTTTTACAGCTTCACCTGCAATATCATTCCCTGGTATTCCTACATGACTTGGCACCCAGTTGACATGTTTTAAATGACCTTGATAATCGAGTGTTTGCATTAGTGTTATAATTTTTGTGATCATATGGATGTTGTTACGCAAGTGCTCTTGTTGCAAGGTTTCAGTGGCAGTTCTTGAATCTTTATGTTCCAAAGTCTTTTGAATATAAAGTTAATCACCCACATAAGTGATTAAATTAAGTAAAGTTAAAATGCCAACAATAGAATTTCCTTAATGAACTGCAGCTCCAGATTCTTTTTTCCTGGTCTACTAATCCATCTGTGAAATATGCATCTCCATTCATTTGTGCAATGTTGCAAAGCATAGGTTAGTCTCATTTTTTCCCCTGAAAAGGCATAATCTTAGACTACTGGCAACGATTCCTCAAGATGCTTGCATTACTAAGAGCACATGCATTTCATTGTATCTCAGTGATTGTATTTGTGATTTTGAACTGTATTCATTGCTTCCCCCTCCTGTACTTACTACAAAACTGTTTTCACACTTTGAGATATGATAGCCCGGGAATACCTCTTTGATTTACTATGATCAAAATCATTTATTTCTTAAGATTTTAGTGTGATTTCATTCATCAGTTAAGATAGGGGCTTTACTGATACATATTGCATGTTTCTGTGGCCATATCATCTATTCATCAATATCATCTTTGTACTTATTATATTATTGCGCTGACTCTCTTTCATAGCTGCGGACACTTAATGGAGCGCTGCCCTGCTCCATATTGTCCTAACTGCATTGTCCCTCTTACAGTTGTGCATATCCTTGTCGAATGTCCTGACTTCCAGGACGAGCATGTGTCTTGCTTTCCGACCGTCTCCGGCAGTCACTTTTCCCTCGACAGAATTCTCGGTGAATCGGATACTTTTGATATCGTTCGCCTTATGCGTTTATTCTCATATTGGCATCCTCAGTGATAATTAGTGCCCTCTGATTATTCTGCACATTTGATGGTGCTACATAGCCTTCCCAGCTTGGTGCCTTCTTTGATAATTAATTAATTACTCTTTCAAAGCTGTGAACAAACATTCCAATGTTGTGCTAATTGTTTGAGCTCCATAAATTTTTAGACAGTCGATTAGTGCCTTCAGTGTGTGCAAGCCTTTATGCTGTTATAAATTTATGGGAACTAGCTTACAATATTAAGAGTTAAACTTTGCTGTCATGAGTGTTAACCATGCCAAACTTTTATTCCTCTCTAATATTTCCCATAATACTGACAGGAATAAATGGCAATATTGAAATCATGATTAATTATTTTATTTATATACTGGTATTAGCTAAAATGAGTCGTCCAAACTACAAAAGTCTGTTACTCGTATATTCCCAGTTAATATCGTTTCGCTCTTGATTTATTTTTACAAACGTGAGCATATAGCGTGAGCGTGAGCATATGTGGAGCCGGTCGGCCGAGTGGACAGCACGCTGGACTTGTGATCCTGTGGTCCTGGGTTCGATCCCAGGCGCCGGCGAGAAACAATGGGCAGAGTTTCTTTCATCCTATGCCCCTGTTACCTAGCAGTAAAATAGGTACCTGGGTGTTAGTCAGCTGTCACGGGCTGCTTCCTGGGGGTGGAGGCCTGGTCAAGGACCGGGCCGCGGGGACACTAAAAAGCCCCGAAATCATCTCAAGATAACCTCAAGATATATATATATGTATGCCTACTCTTTAATTTATGTTGTTGCATGTGGAATAGTGGATGGCATGCATGTAAAATGATAAGATATAAATTAAAAAAATAAATTTGCAACCTACTCTATGTAAAACATCGAGATAACTTTTGTTAGAGGCACATGGTGCTGAATAACTTCTAGGCTCTAACCTAAAACTAGGCTAACATTGGGCTTCTAGTCCAAAATCTATCATTAAAAATAATTATAGATTCAATGGAATTTTGTTACTACTGTATTTGTATCCAGTACTATTTTTGCATCTAGGCACCTGTCATTTTAGTAGTAGTTACCTGCAGATGCAACTTTGCACAATAAATTAGTAATGTATTTAGGTCCTTGTGTGCTAATGTTTCATGTTTAACCTACACTTCTGCAGGGAAACTGGATGTTGCAATTGCAAAGTCTGTCATTCAGGGATGTTGAAAGTAACTGCACCTCTAATGTGGTAGCTGTTAATGTTGATTTTTGTCCCCCTTCCCTTCCTTCCTAAATTTCCCTAAGTAATTTCCCTTAATCTTGGTGGCATTATTTACTCTTCAGTGACATCATATAAAATTCACTACAAGTTGTTGTGCTGTAGACATATTACTTTTGGTTTATGTTAAGAAAAATTGCTATATTGTATAATTTTCCAAAATATTTTATTATGCTCTGATCTGAGAAATAAATATTTCTTGAGAATTGTAGTTTGTTTAAATTAGGCTTCCCAAGTTATTTTTTAATGAGAAATTTGTACTGGTACTACTGTATAATAAACTGTAGAGTTGATCATTAAAAGCAGTTGACAAATTATTTAATAGATAGTTGAATGATATGGTATATTGCCGACGAAGTATGTATTGTAAAGTACAGAAGAACAATGTGCAGTTTAAACACGTAATTAGGAGATGGACAAGAAGCAAGAGTAAGATCATCTAGAAAATCAGGACATGACTAAGAGGGACAAAGCAGGTTGGACAATAGGAGTAAGTTGTTTCATAAAATGCCCAAGAGTTAAGCTCGCGTGACTGGTACACAACCTAGCCAGAACGATTTCCTACCGTCTGTTACAGTGGTACGATGAAGGCAAATGGAAGTTCAATTTTAAGAATACGCAGTTTATCTCTAATGGAACACAATGACCCTGCAAACGGTCGAAGACTACAAAATGAATGGCTAAAACACCATAACTAATCCTTTTTTTGGGAAATGGGTGAAAAGTATTAATGGTCTCCTTAGTGATGTCTACAAGGAAACTAATATGGCTGGGAATCCAACAAAATTTGACTTATTTAAAATCTGCTGGGGATATTGAATGTAGACCTGAAGTCCTACAAGGTACTTGCGAAAGCCAAATTGGGAAGGGGAGAAGTAGCTGATTCCAGCAACCCTATGTTTAAAGTTTGCACATAACTTTGGGCAAAGGGCGAAAATCATTGGGGAAGGGGGAAAATCTTGAGTACGGGATTTCCTAATGACCGGGCAGTCAACAGTGCCCCCGGGGACACTGACTGAACCGTCAAGAGTGCCCTGGGGGTAACACTGACCGGGCTGTCAACAGTGTCAGCGGGGACACTGACCGGACTGTCAACAGTGCCCCAGGGGAACACTGACCGGGCTGTCAACAGTGTCACCTGGGACACTGACCGGACCGTCAACAGTGCCCCGAGGACACTGACCGGACCGTCAACAGTGTCACCGGGGACACTGACCACACCGTCAAGAGTGTCATCGGGGACACTGACCGGACCGTCAACAGTGCCCCGAGGACACTGACCGGACCGTCAACAGTGCCCCGAGGACACTGACCGGACCGTCAACAGTGTCACCGGGGACACTGACCGGACCGTCAACAGTGCCCCGAGGACACTGACCGGACCGTCAACAGTGCCCTGAGGACACTGACCGGACCGTCAACAGTGCCTCGAGGACACTGACCGGACCGTCAACAGTGTCACCGGGGATACTGAACGGACCGTCAACAGTGCCCCGAGGACACTGACCGGACCGTCAACAGTGTCACCGGAGACACTGACCGGACCGTCAACAGTGTCACCGAGGACACTGACCGGACCGTCAACAGTGTCACCAGGGACACTGACCGGACCGTCAACAGTGTCACCGGGGACACTGACCGGACCGTCAACAGTGTCACCAGGGACACTGACCGGACCGTCAACAGTGTCACCGGGGACACTGACCGGACCATCAACAGTGTTACCGGGGTCACTGACCGGGCCGTCAACAGTGTCACCGGGGACACTGACTGGACCGTCAACAGTGTCACCGGGAACACTGACCGGACCGTCAACAGTGTCCCCAGGGACACTGACCGGACCGTCAACAGTGCCCCCGGGGACACTGACCGGACCGTCAACAGTGCCCCCAGGGACACTGACCGGACCGTCAACAGTGCCCCCAGGGACACTGACCGGACCGTCAACAGTGCCCCCAGGGACACTGACCGGACCGTCAACAATGTCACCGGGGACACTGACCGGGCCGTCAACAATGTCACCGGGGACACTGACCGGGCCGTCAAGAGTGCGCAGAAGGGCTGTCAACTGAGGAGGGGTAATGGGCTGCCCGCGCACACCTGCTTCTTGCACCTCACTACACCTGCAGAAATGCTCGCAGTTAAACCATATAACTCCCAAGACGGTCTCACACACACCTGTCAATCTTAATGACAGAGAGTGAAGACAAGAGCCGACGTGGTGGGTGGAGGCAGTAGGTGGGCGGGACGACAGGTGGGACGCTCACACAGCCAACACCACCCAATATATGCTCCACCAGGGGGGGTGGGTGGGGGTTAATACCCGCAATACATGCAGGTTTTAGTGGCCGGTGAAGGTAAGAAGCGGCCTGGGAAACGGGCCCGAGGGTGTCAGCGTGCCCCGGTGTGTGTGGGGAGCGGGCCGGGGGTGTGAGCGGGCCCCGGGGTGTGTGTGGCCAGCAACAGGCGGTCAACACTCTGGGAAGCTCTGGTGATATATGTGGATCAATATAACACTTAGATCAGTAGGTGGTATGAGGCCGTCCGCCGTAGTGGGTGGAGGACAAGTATTAACCGCTGCCTGAAGGTATTGATGCCGTGGGGGAGGTAATGTGTGTGTGGTTGGACATTTGTATTGACTTATTGATGTGCTTGTCAAGCCCAGTAGGGGTCTTGGACTCCTGTAGGATGATACGTGAAGCCTATACACGTTTCCGCTACAGGAATTCTGTCAGGCCTATTGAGGTCCCACAAGCTAAGGCGACCACTGAGGCCTAGGAACCAGCAGTGCCTAATCTGACCTCTCCAGTGACCACCATCACCCCACTTGAAGGTCAAGAAGCTACACTTAAGTTATAAAGATCCCCTCAAGCTAGGTCATGACCTTACACAGAATATAAATAAAAAGTTCAACCTTTATTTTTGTTAGGTTGATATAGATTGACACATCATTTGCCCCTTATAAACCCATTCCAGTACAGGTATTTATTTTTATTTATTTATTTATTTTTTTTTTTTTTTTTTTTTTTTTTTTTTTTGAGATATATACAAGTGTTGTTACATTCTTGTACAGCCACTAGTACGCGTAGCGTTTCGGGCAGGTCCCTGGAATACGATCCCCTGCCGCGAAGAATCGTTTTTTCATCCAAGTACACATTTTACTGTTGCGTTAAACAGAGGCTACAGTTAAGGAATTGCGCCCAGTAAATCCTCCCCGGCCAGGATACGAACCCATGACATAGCGCTCGCGGAACGCCAGGCGAGTGTCTTACCACTACACCACGGAGACTGTTACTACACCACGGAGACTGTTATATATATATACAAAGAGTTGTTACATTCTTGTACAGCCACTAGCACGCATAGAGTTTTGGACAGGTTCTTAATCCTAATTTTCCCTGGATTACGACCCGCCAAATCATTTAACAACCAGGTACCCATTCACTGCTGGGTGAACAGAGGCTACAGTTAAAGATTGGCGCCCAGTTAATCCTCCCCGGCTAGGATACGAACCCAGGCCAAAGTGCTCGCGAAGCGCCGGGTGAGTGTCTTACCACTGTGCCACGGACACTGCATGACCACAGGGACTATACGACTTGAATAATATTTATATTGTTAGCAGACAGATGTGAATGGTATAAAGTCAACTTGGCCACAATTACTGTACATGAGTTAGGTAACAATTAGGTTAGGCATTATAAGTCCCTGTGGCGTTGTGGTAAGACACTCACCTGGCGTTCCGCGAGTGCTTTATCCTGGGTTCGTATCCTGGCCGCGGAGGATTTACTGGGAGTCAATCCTTACCCTCTGTTTAACTCGACAGTAAAATGGGTACTTGGTTGTAAAAACGATTCTTCGTGGGGGTCATATTCCAGGGAACATAGGATTAAAGACTTGCCCGAAATGCTATGCGTACTAGTGGCTGTACAAGAATGTAAAAACTATTGTGTATATATATATATAAAAAAAATTAGATAGGTTAACAATTAGGTTAGGCTAGGTTGTGGTAGAGAATATTAGTTTACAGCATTATCGTTGAAATGAGAACAAAAAATGTCAGGCCTTATCAAGACCCCGAGACACAATCTGCACATTATTCACTCTTATTTTTGGTTTAGGAGTAAGTTGGAAACGAGGTGTAGGACAATGAATATTTATCTTGTGTAGTTGTGCCTGAGTTTACACACTAGTGGCCTTAATGAAAAGAGGAAGCCTGCAGCTTGTTAAAGGTCTCCCTCCCATTTGTTGTGAGGATTTTTTCAAGCTGGATTCTACAGTTAATTTTTGGCTTTAGCATTTTAGTTTTGGCATTTATGGCTTTGGTGTTGGGGGACAGGGAGCCAGAGTGTATTCATACACGTTAGGCTTTATCAATGTTCCTCCCCCCCCCCCCCAGATCGAATTACTGACCCCGCCCAGTACTGACTGCTAGGAGAACAGATACATTAGGTGAAAGGAAATGTACCCAACCATTTCTGTCCCGCCTGGAATTCGAACACGGAATTCTCGATTGTGCGTCGAGAATGAACCTGACTCTACTACCAGGGCCCTCATGTTTGCCTGATTTACCTGGTAAAGATGATTTAAAAGGTGGTGCTCCTTGTACTGGCACCACCATGGAAGCAGCTAACACTCTGTTCATCTATACTACTTGTATCAGAAGCAGCATCACTGAACCCAGAAAACGATTCATCTATAGTATCACTTTCTTAAAAATTGGAGATGATACAGGTGGTGGTGATAATGGTGAGGGCAATGACCTGGGAGGCTGCAGCATGCCTGGTGCTCACCCTGTACTGGATACGTTCATTATATAATCGTCATCTGTCATCAAGAAGGACATAGCTGCTTTGGACAAAGTACAAAACTGAACAAAAAAAATAATTCCAGAACTAAGTCATCTTTCATACCAGAAACGATTGAGGGCCTTGGACTAACATCACTGCAAATCTTGTATGACAGGGCAGATCTCATCAAAACTTTTAAAATACTGTACTAAACAATTTTGGAGGATGTTTATCCAAACAGCTTCTTCAAAAAGTGAAATGTAACACAAACAAGAAACAACGGCTTAAAGTTCAAGGTGCCACAATGTAGGAATAAAAGCAGGATGTGCTTTTTCACCCACAGGGTTACAAATTCATGGAACCACCTACCCACTGAAGCCATAAATGCCAAAAAACTTGAATTTTAATATTTGGGGCCTGACAGCTGAGTGGACAGCATTCTGGATTCATAGTCCTGAGGTTCTGGGTTCGATCCCCGGTGGAGGCAGAAAGAAATGGGCAGTTTCTTTCACCCCTTATGCCCCTGTTCACCTAGCAGTGAATAGATACCTGGGAGTTAGACAGCTGCTATGGGCTGCTTCCTGGGGGTGTGTAACAAAAAGGAGACCTGGTTGAGGGCCGGGCTGCGGGGACGCTAAGGCCTAAAATCATCTCAAGATAACCTCAAACTAGGTAATCAAAGTCATCAGGACAGATTGGGGGGGGGGGGGACCTTTGACAAGCTGCCAGCTTCCTGTCTTCATTGAGGCCACTAGTGTGTTAGTGGCCCTCCGGTAAATTCAGGAATTCATATGTATGAGAGTTTGCATATATGTGCTGTACCTTGAGTATGTACGTGTTTGTGCATGTATTTTTTTTAATAATGTTATAATATTTCTAATAAAAGTATTTTTATTTGCAGGTAATGGGCTCCTGACAGTTATGGATGTAAAAGTGTTTGTCTTCAGAAAAACAAAAACTCTTGTTATGCAGTAGAAGCTTTCTGTAACTGTGTTACTGTTAATATGTTAAGAGATTTAGTCCATTGTTGTGGATGTCAACCAAATAATCAACAGTTCAATACAGTAGCTAACAAATTGTTACTTGTAAAAGAATAGTATCTCACAAGATGCAGCTGTTAAGAATTCACTATCAGAAATTGTTTGTGTGTGTGTCATTTATAATGTTAGTGCTGGTGGTGGTACGAGTCTGGGAGGCCGATGGTGGATCTCCAAGTCCACGCCAGACCCAGGCAAGCTCCTCAAAGACCCATGAGAAGAGGGTCAACAGTGGAAGAGAGAATAACATCAATATAGACACTCCAGTGCTCTCTCCTCGTCATGGTGGTCGAGGTGGCAACAAGGCATCGGGAGCTAATATTTTTGCTGATCTTTTCCAAGATTTAGCCAAGGTACATTTTCTGATGTACTCTATATTTATTCTTGAATTCATATCCATATATCTTAAATGTTTGTATTTAAACTACTGTCTGTGTATACACAGTAACCTTATTATGTTGCAAGTTTAATTGATATTTTGCAGGTTTTGCCATATCAATGAAATAAAGATGCAGGGCAGCTCTACTTAAATGGATTGGTTCATGCTAGACTACATTTGCTGTACAAGTTGACAATAGCTGCTTATACAAATTTCTGTACAAAATTTATGGACTTGCACCCACATTGTATTTTGTATTGCTAATTTATTCTTCTCCACCCTGCTAGGAGGAGACCTGTCCATTGTGTTTTGGACATGACCTATGTGAAGATGTTTCTGCTGGCTTCCTCACCTTAGCTACAGATACTCCCCATGGACAAAATGGAGATTCTATCTACGAAGCTCACTTGGGGGATATGCATAAACTTTCTGTCAAGGTGAGAACTCTTTTGGTTATAACAAAGTTACTAAAGAGGGTAAAAAAAATCTCCAAAACCAAAAAAAATTACCTTTCTTTTATGTTTTACTATGATAGGGTTCAGGATGAAATACTACAGTGGTACCTCCATTTTTAAATTTAATCCGTTCCCAGAGACTGTTCAATAACTGAAAGTTTGAAAGCGAAATGAATTTTTCCATAAGAAATAATATAAATTGAATTATAGTAATCAGTTCCACACCCCAAAAAATATTAACTTGAAAATACATTTTATGCATACTACTATTTATATTTTGTACTACAGTATGTACAAGTATATCTTACCTTTATTGAGGACTCTTGTTGGCATATGGAAGACGATGAGGTGGGGGGGGAAGGTGTTGATGTTTGGAAGGGGGTGTCCCCTTCCATTATAACATTAGGCAGTGATGATGTTTCTGGGGTACTCTCTCTCTCTTACCTTTTGCAGGCATATCACTATGACCTGGTTGTGGTGCACCGCTTGTTTGTCTTGATAAAAACCTGTGTATCGACACTTGTTTTCCCAACATTTCAACACTTGTCTGAAGCAAGACATCACATTGTCATTAAAAAAGGGTAGCACAACGATCTGTTACGGCTTTATTTGTGTGACACTTTTCAGCAAAATTTTGCAGTTCTTTCCATACTGTACACCATTTCTTAATTACTGTATTAAGGAAGGAACATCCTCTAGTCTCCTCCTCCCCTGAAGAAATTTCCTCAGCTGCCTCTTGTTGCTGCTCATTGTGAAGGGTTAGGAGTTCACCGGTGATCAGTTCTTCGTTGTGTTCCTCCACCAACTCCTCCACATCTGCACCATCCAACTCCAAGCCCAATTTCTGGCCCAGAGAAACAATTTTCTAAACAAGAGTCACTGCAGGTTCAGGCTCAAACCCCTCAAAGTCTCGTTCTGGAACACATTCAGGCCACAATTTTCTCCAGCTAGTCACTTCTTTGTCTATGAGGTTTAAAGCACTCAGAATGTGAAAATATTTTTTTCCAGAACTTTTTGAGGGTGAGGTTTGTTGCATCAGTTTCTTAAAATTGGAAATGATTTCCTGGTCCATAGGCTGAATTAGAGGAGTGGCATTGGAAGGAAAGAACATTATTGTAACAAAACTAAATTCCTCCAACAATGCATCCTCCAAGCCTGGAGGATGAGCAGGAGCATTGTCGAGGAGAAGCAGGGTCTTAAGTGGCAAACATTTCTCCGGCAGATATTTTTTGATGGCAGGGCAAACCACTTCGTTCACCCACTCAGTAAAAAAATTGCCTTGTCACCAATGCCTTGCCATTAGCCCTCCACATCACATTCAGTTTGTTTTTCTCCACATTATATTTGTTGAAAACCCTTGGATTTTCGGAATGATGCACAAGCACGGGTTTAATTTTCAAATCGCCACTCGCATTACCCACAGCACAAGAGTTAGCCTTTCTTTCATAGGTTTGTGTCCAGGCATTGCCTTCTCCTAGGTAATGTATGTCCTCTTCGGCAATTTTTTCCAAAATAGCCCCGTCTCGTCACAATTAAACACTTATTGTGGTAAAAGTATCCCTCACTATCTACAAAATCTTTAAAATTGCAAACAAATCTTTCAACTGCTTCTTTGTCTGAGCTGGCAGCCTCACCATGCCTTACTACACTATGAATGCCACTTCTTTTTCTAAATTTCTCAAACCATCCCCTGCTCGCCTGAAACTCTTTCGTATGTGCATCACTCGTTCCAGGGGTTTTCTTTATAAGATCTTCATGCAATAAGCCTTGCTTTTTCACAAATGATGCCCTCTGAAATGCTATCATTTGCTAACTGCATATTGTTTATCCAAATTAATAATAACCTTTCAACATCTTCAAGTGTTTGTGTTCTTTGTTTAGTGATTGTTGTTATGCCTTTTGTCACTTTAACACTCATAATGTCCTTTTTCTTAGTAATTACAGAGCATATAGTTGACATATTTTTGTTGTAGTGTCTAGCTATTTCAACAACCCGCATACCATTTTCATGTTTACAAATGATCTGTTGTTTTTGCTCTATGGTCATCCTCACAATTGTTCTCCTAGGTTGAACTTTACCACTGACTTTCTTGGGACCCAGGGCATGATATATAATAATTACTTTTAATGTTCAGAAACCAAAAAAGCACAAAAAGAATGAATTTCTTTACAAAGAATTCAAGCGCGGTCATCACTGGGCAGGACACACTGGTAAACTGAGGCGCGCCAGCCAGAACCACATGCTTGGTCGACCCAAAAGTGTGTGAACAAACTACGAGAAGTGAAGCAAACCTCATATACCGTGTTGAATTTTACAAAGAAATTGAGCTCGAAAACCTAAAAATTAGAAGAGAGGGGCATTTGAAAACTGAGGTTCCACTGTATAAGATACAGTACTAGAAATGTTAGAGACATTTTTCTAACATTTCTCTATGTTCTGTGCCCTGAATGTCCTGTGCTGTCTTCTTCTTGTTCACACCCTGGCACCTAGTCACTACATTCATTTCTTGCATATTTCAATTCTATCTGTAATCTATCAGAATATAATCTTTCTATTGTGTGCTTCTTACCCTTTTGTCTTTGTGTATTTCTGTAGATGAAAACCGACTTATTATTTAGAGAATGAAAAGAAATAAGATAAATTTAACAATACAGTTTTGAAAGGGCCTGTACTTTCTCCATTGATACTCCTCTACCTGTTGCAGGTTCCTTTGGGTAACCATTTCTCACGCCTAGATGAAGCTGTTTGTAAAAATGCCAGTCTGGGTGAAGGATGCAGTGTTGGGTCAGCTGCTTATAAATCCTTCTTGGCAAGACCACAGCCATTGTCACCTCAATTGATACACCATTTGCTTCGCAGTGTTGGCATTCCTCGAACACAGTATCCGTATGTATGCATTTTTAAGTGTATCTTTGTATTCATTTTATCATAAGCCATTCTATTCTGGATGAACTTTCTGTATAATTTTGCCTCTTCTAGATCTTTATGCAGTAAGTTTTTCTTATTTTTGTTTAACTATTCACTAGGATTTTTCATCTTGCTAGACTCCAGAATGGCGTATCCCTCTGTTGTTACTGTTTCTATTTATTATTTCGAGTCGCCTTCTTGAATTACAGTCTAGAAGGCTGTGGCTGCTTTATGTGACCAGGGGTCCAGATTCATGAAGCAGTTTCCTTAATCTTTGACAGCTTTGGTTGCATTTATTAAACATTTACGAGCATGAAAACTTTCCAATTAACTGTTGTTATTGTTACAAACAGCCTACTGGTGCTTTGGAGCTCATTAACTGTTTAATAATTGTAAACAAAGCCGTCAAAGATTAAGAAAAGATGTACGGGTTTGTAAGTGCTTGTGTAACTGCTTCGTGAATCTGGCCCCTGGTTTCCTCTGAGGCGAAGGGAGCAATGGCTTATGAAACACTCCACTTTGTGAGAGTATAGTCATGTCTGCCATCAACTGGGGGGTATCACCCAGAAAGGTAGGTGAACTATTACCAATCCCTACTTGCAAAACATTGCAACCCAAGACCAAACAGAGCCCATGAACTCTCCCCAAGAGGAAACAACAAACAAGCAAATATCCACACAACCAGCGTGCCCACCCAGGCGACCAAGCGCTGATACTAGCAGTTCAGCACTGCCCATTCCTACCTATTCCCTGCCTACCACTGACACCAGCGGTAGGCACAGAACTCCCGTTAACTGATGTTCTTGACTAATATAATGGATATCAGTCCGTTAGCTTCAGGAAACCTCCGGGGCTCAACCCAGAAAATGGTGTTTCGTTACTTTCAACGCAGGTTTTTTTTTTTTTTTTTTTTTTTTTTTTTTTTTTTTTTTTTTTTTTTTTTTTTTTGTGTGTGTGTGTGTGTGTGTGTGTGTGTGTGTGTGTGTGTGTGTGTGTGTGTGTGTGTGTGTGTTTCAGTATCGCTGGAGACAGTCTTTTAAAATTTATATATAATGAGATATGGGCCCACATTCATTCGGAGTGAAACTCGTCATTCAAAATTAAAACTAGCCATATGGTGTTCTTTAAACCAGACCCATCAACTTTGTCAACTCAATTTTTTTTTTTTTGACACTTCTAGTGAACCAAATTTAATTTCAGTACTGTAATTTGTAAGGTGATTATGTTCAATCTGGTAAGTCTACCAAGACAGCATATTAGGGAAGATTCATTGTTTTCTTATAGCAATACAGTATAAGAGAATTGCTGCAAGTCAATTGTTCCTGGCTCACCTAGGGTTCTGTTCTACCCCACACTCTTAGGTTATTCTGTATATTCTTGCATCGTTGCTTCTTGCTGCAATTATTGAATCAACTATGGTATGTATATTTTACCATTTGTCATTCATTCTTATTATATTTTTGTTAAATTTGCTCTTTAAGTACACCACAGTACTGCTGAAATTCTGTACAGTGTACATGTTTCCACTTTCTACTTAATACTGTATAATATTTTATTCAAGATCATATCTTTATTTTGTTAATATTTTAATTGATTATCCCTGCCAAAAAAAAAAATATATATATATTATATACATATACTGTATATAATTTTAACTTTCAGATTATTAATGTGTCCAAGCAAGAAGCTGCTAAGCGTTATAGAGCGATCTTTTGATGACAATGATGATCATAGTCTGAGTCAAGATGAAAGGATTGCTTTATACACAACTTTAACCATCGCTCCAGATATTGTTGTCCTTAAGGTTTGGCACATAGCAATAACTTGTAATGCATAGCAATAACTTGTGGCAGTATGGTGTTGAAATTACATAAATGTTTAGTTATCCACACAGATTCATCATGAGCTCGTTAAATTGTTTTAATTCACTGTGATAATGTAGTAATAATGGTTTTAGTTAACTATTATAAAATGCTAAAAGTATTATTATGTAACAATCTCTCTTGTCTCTGGGTGTGTATTATTGATATAGGCAAAATGCATATCATGCTGAACAAGCATGTATTTTGTAAATTTTAGAGAGATGTTATCTTATGTTATCCACTTCATTGAAGAACTAAATGGATAGAATGAATGCAAGGGCAGCTTTCCAAAGAGTCTGGCAAACTCTTTGCCTGACTTCTTTGCCTGAAGTACTGTAATAAGACAGCAAATATGCCACCTTATTACAGTATTTTTGGATTTTTTGACTGTTGTGTGCCACAGGCAGTGCTAAATAATTGTTCAGGCCTGTTGCCTCCTTTTGATAATTACTTATGAACTTATTATCAATTGTGTCTAATTGGTGTGTTGGTGTTTTCAGTTACTGACAAAGGCAAATCTAAATGTTGGTTTTCCTCGACTTGTTGGTGTTTGTGGGCGGGTCGGGGTCCTAGAAGGGGAGCTGACTCCCCTGGCTTCCCTGCTGGATGAGCCATTTAATGTTCGTGCCTCACTTGCTGCTCAAATTCTGACCATGGTTGATGACTTTATGGTAAGATGTTTTTGTTTTTCATAAAATACCATAAAAACATAATTTGAATTATTATTACAGTACCTTAACAACTTTACCTGACCTAAATATGCCAATTATTGTAACAATATTTCTGTTGAGACAAATGTGCTTCTATTGCAACAACCAGTGAGTCCTTTGAAGTCTGAAGTGTGGGTTTGAGTGCCCATAGTGTGTTTTGAAATTTATTTCTTGACTTATCAACTTTGGATCAACGTTGATAATATTGATTCAACATCAATAATGTTGATTCATATTACTCGAGCATGTTTTGCCCACTGGGGTAGAGAGAATGAGAGAGAGAGAGAGAGAATGAGAATTACAGTACCTGTACTGTACAGTGGAACCTCAGTTTTCAAATGCCCTTCTTTTCAAATTTTTTGGTTTTCGAGCTCAATTTCTTCGTAAAATTCAATTTTTTTTTTTTTTTTGCCTCATTTCTTGAGTTTATTGATACATGTTTGGGTCGGTTTTTCGGTTGTCGAACCATCTCTGGGAACAGATTAAATTCGTAGGTGAAGGTACCACTGTATTTCACTCAGAATGCCTTTTCAATGAGTTGATCTATATGTCTCCATCCAGATATATTGTAAATAGATACTGACTGGAGTAAAGTTTTTTCTGGTGCTGAGAATATTTATGAGGAATTACCTACTGTCAGAGGTGGTAATAAGCATGTTGCATTCTGTACTTATTTTATAGAACACAGAAGTTACTTCCGTCTCTTAAAAATTGCCAAGGCAAACTTTTTATCTCTGTAAAATTCATGCATATGTAAAAGGCATTATTTTTCAGGAGGATGATCCAGAGTGGTACCTGTTTTATGGGTTGTGGTCACTAGACAAGCTGGCTGTCAACAAGGAGGGGGAAGTTGTTCTGACGGACCTCGCCAACATGGCCGTTGTAGATAAGAATCTTTTTAGAGGTACAGTACTGTAATCTTAAGATCAGAGGATGAATATGATATTGGGTGTTGCACTAAGGTATAGGTAGCATCACTCGTGAATTTTATTATTGTTTTGTGTGATTTTATAAACTGTAGTAGTATTTAGTTGCATCAGTTTAGTTGTAGTAAGTATTTAACTGAGTATTTATTCTTGTCATTCAGAATCTGTGTACAGAATCCAGTCATACAGAGTTTGGTTAAAGAAGTACTGTACTGATTACTAGACATGTTGCAAATAATTCTTTTATCGTACTACTACTGTACTAGTATAAGAAAATTTGAAATTAAGTACACTTATGATAGCAAGCATTCTCTTGTATTTTATAACCAAACTAAAACTTTCTTAATAGGGAAGTTTCTTTCTTCAGTCTGATCTACCTGAAATTAATTTTTCTTTCTTTTTCTGATTCAGAATTAATAATATTTTCTTAATTTAATGCAAAAGTTAAGGCTATCACAATCTTGAGATATCTCATATTCATTCATAACATTGCCTTCATACTGTTTCTTATTGCCAGAAGATTATGAGGATGGAAATGAAAATCGTGCTCAGGAGGTCTGCAACAAAGAATGCTTCCAAAAGTTTACTGGAGAAGTATACAGAGAGAGTCACGATACCGACAAGGTATGCTCACGTGTGGAAGACGTTGGCCACCTCATGTACGCTGCAGTGTGTGCCATGATTCTCAGTGACATGGAGCAGCACAAGTATGTCGACTACTTCACCAGTGCCACCAATCAACAGAAACAGCCTCGCTCTACAAGAGGTTAGTGCGCCTTTCATTGCTCCCATTAGACAGTTTAATTGCCAGGTCATAGGTGTTCCTAATATGTAAAATATAATTTAAAAAACCATCAGAGAAAATTTGATGTATTTTAGTTACAAAATACAAATCATGTAAATTTGGCTCCCATTTTTTTCCCTTTCATTGATTTGTTATTTTAGTTGATTAATGTTGTTTTATAATTGTTTCACATTTCTAATAAGGAAAGAATAATCTTTCTATATTTACCATTAATTTTTATAGCACTTATAATGATGGATGAATCTAACAAAAAAGAAGGCACAATTTATACACAAAAATTGCTATCAAGCTTTCCAATACCCAAATTATATAAAACAAATTGTTGAAATAATACGTATGAGAGATTGAAAAAGGCATTGGCACTGCTGCATGGCAGGGGAATGCACGTGGTGACAATAGAGTGTAATGCTGATTTTGCATTAGGCGATCACAATCTGCTATAGCAGTAAAAGAAATAAGGTGTTTATAAGAGGCTAAACTATCTTGAGTGAATAAATAAAAGATTAAAAAGGCACTTTGGCTGGAAGATGCTCTTAGAATTATCTGGTCAAGTGGCAGTGCTTTTCTTTTTTTTCCTCCCAGGTCTCCTGCATGATATTCCAGCTTCTGATAGAGCCACAGTAGAGGAGCTGTTGGCCGAGTGTGTGGATGAAGCAGCACCAGGGGGCAGACTCCAAGCTGCTCAGGAACTTCGAGACTTTCTCTCAGACTTCCTGCTGGATGATGATGATGATGATGGGGATAACGGAGAGGAGGTATCCAATACTAAAAATGACGATGGCGACGATTATGACGATGATGATTATGACTATGGGGAGGACGAAGGTTGAGGAGGCTCAAATAATTCAACCTGCTGGTAGTAGAAACAAGTTGGTCTTTTTCAAATTAATGTTACATGTCACATTTTTTCTAAAAATATTTGTTTCATGTTATGAAATAGATTACAGTACTGAATGTCAAAGAAATATATGAATAGCCCTCAAGTTTGAATACTTACAACTGTGGCACATTAGCTGTGATATACTGGTTACAGCAATACTAATTATGTGTTTAAATCTATTCTCTGTAAAGTGTTATATGGTGTCCCAGTATAAGTAACCAGACCATGTCTTGAATGACCTCACTGCTTTTGGCAAGAAGTAGGATGAGTTGTGTGTGTGTTAGGTTTTTATAGTGCAGTTCACAGGCTTGTGAAGCAGAATCTTTATATACTATATAGACTTGAACAAATTGAACAGTTTGTTTCATTGATTGATGGATTACTCACAGTAATAAAACACATTGAACAAAATTATGGTGAATAGTCAGGATTGTGCTTCATTAGGCACTGCTTGTTGTTACCCAATCTTTGTGCTGTGAGAGATGGCTTCTGCCTATCATAACGCCATAATGGAGAGCTCATTATTGGTGGCTCAGTTCATCAAACATGGGTTGTGGCACAGTACAGTTTATGAGTCACTTTGATAGCACAGCAGATAAGCTGCCCAATGGCCTACAAACCTATCCTCATACAATCACCTCTACACATACCAAGTATTTCATTTTGACTTCTCAAACACAATGCAGATAAAAAAAAGGGGGCATGGAAATGTGTGTACTGACGATGAGTCACAATAACGTGGTTGAAGAGTTGGTACCCAACACGCATCGGAAAATGAAGAAATGACGACCTTTTGGTCTGTCATTTCTTCATTTTCAATTGCGTGTGTTGGGTATCAGACACCCAACGTATATTTTAGATTATGTTCATGTTGCATAAATTGCAAATTGAAAATACAATTTCCATTAACAGATTTACTATACTATACAGATGTAGATATGGTACTGTATATTGAAGGCGTTAGTATGTTTTGCAAGAGAGAGTAACAGTACAGGACGCTTTGTGATGCTTCCCTTGAAGGTATGTTTTAACCATACAGTGCAATTAGTGCAATGCTGCCCTTGAAGGTAAGTCTTACCCATACATGATTAGTGCAATGCTTAGCTTGGGAATCAGCTTGCCAACCTTACTTGTACATCATTATCTATTTTTCCAATAAATTACAGGTCTGTGCATGTTTTAATAGTTATCATCGCTGTTAATAATTTGATTTCCATTGTAATAACCCGGCCTACTCTTCCCTTACTCATTCAATACCCCCAGCTCAACACCGTGTGCAGAATCACTGTGACCCCTCACTGATTTACCCGCTAATATCAAAACTGAAATATTAAATGAGGGGGATGCAACAAGTGAAGGGTTTATTAATTTAAAAATAATGAATAAAAACTTAATTGTAAAACTACCACCACCTTCCTGCGACCGGAATGTGTCTAGACTACTGATCTCCCAGGGAGGACAGAAATCAATAATCATGAACTCAAGGGCATTAGGAATCTTAGTACAAAAAGGCTTGGGGAATAAATTATAAACTTTATTTATTGAGGATTCAAGGGTAACTCTAATATCCATGAAATGGAGGAGAACCCAGGGGGATTTCCAGTACCACACACAAATACCACATATAAGAATGACTCTGCATTAATAAACAAAAAGGGAGGGGGATTAACTAAATACCACTAGATCAAATGTTCACTTTATTAAAACAGGCACATATATTGAAAACAGATTAAAAATATATCCTACTCTAATAAAACATCCTAAGAGGCAATCATAAAATTGGGGTGCAATTACTTTGATGTACCAAAACTCAGACAGGCATTACCTTATCCTGCAAAACCATCCCAGATGTTGAGTGGCTGCCCTCCAAGTCACCTGACCTGTACCCCAGTCACGCCCAAGACACACTAACTACAATTCTCTTAACAACTATACCAGTCGAACACGCTCCACCCACTTCTAAGTTTTCCTAGGCCCAATAAGCCCTGCCTCTCAGGACTCGAGCCAATGAATTCAAAGTCTTACTCTAGGCCAGCCAAATGCCCTGATAGCCCTGCCCCTAGGCCTCCCTGGCTAGGCTAGCCCATAAGGGTCTATTTCTTTTGACAGAAAACTCAATTGTTCCCACACTCGGATCCCAGGAAACCTGACGTCGGACTATATGACACCAGCTAGAGGCCGAGTTAACTACCACTCAATTCGTCACTGATTAGTGGAGGCAGGAGGAAGAGGGGAACGATTGGAAAGGGAATTTGAAATAAGATTGGAGGGAGGAATTAGGGAATAGGATTGGGTGAAGACTGGCCTGAGGTGGTCTCCCTACCTAAGGAAACCTGAACCCAAGTTTATGGCAAGGAAGACTGGCACAACCCAAGGAAGAGGGTGGGGGGAATGAACAAGGGAGAAGAGGAGGAGGAGAAGGGAAGAAAAGGAGAAGGGAAGAGGCTATGGTCTGCACAGAACATTACACCATGTCTATAAAAGATTCAATAGTGCCTAATGTTTTATGAATATAAATTCATATTTTGTATGCAAATTCCTTCATAACTTGTTTATTTTGTAATATAAGAGGAAATGGGTGCTTGTGTTATATGCAGTTGCCTTCATTCTTATGCTCTATTTTTCTGCTGATTAATAAAAGCACTTACAGCTCATAAATGATAGCAGTAGCCACATCATGGCATTTATACATTTTCCAAATCAGGTCCAGTACCAATTGATGTGGGAAATTGAGCAGGCACTTTAGTTCCAGTAGTGAAGACATTGTGCTCCCCCAGGAAATAGTAAGATTCAAGAAAGTCTTGTCTTATGAAATCTTCCTATCATATTTTTTGGCTCTGTTAACACTAGGTAAGTTTAAAATGCTTCTTATTTATAGAGTACTTATCCTTGTGCTGAATGCTAGAGCGGCAGTCTCTCACTTCATGCAGGCCAGCATTCAATCCCCGACCATCCAAGTGGTTGGGCACCATTCCTTTTTCCCCTCCCATTCACAAATCCTTATCCTGATCCCTTCCAAGTGATATACAGTCGTAATGGCTTGGCATTTGTTCCTGATTATATTATATCCTACATCCTTAATTCTAAACCAATATAACCATGGTCATGGTGCAGTCAGTAGTGTGTGTGTGCGCCTGAGGGGTTCAGGGATGCAGGTTCATTTCCATCATACAGCTTTCATATTTTCTCAAATACAACCATGTTTTTTAAGAAATACAGGATGACAATCATGCTTTTTCACAACAACACTGCTGTTAGACATGCACAAGAATGACTCATATACTGTACTGTGCTTTAATTATATGGTGTATTTAGTTTTAAAAAGGGAACGTGTTTTAGTAAGAAAATTTTTTACTGAAAATGATGTAAGATGATGTAAATTTGAAGATATACAAGTAGACTATTTTTTAGAAATGTAGTAACTGATGTAGTGTATAATTTTATAGTATCAAATTTTATTTATAAGCTGTATGGTATTTTAAAGCTATACTTGAAGACGAGGAGAATGAATCGAGGTAATATGAATACAGGAATGAATACAAAATGGGGTCCATGAGCAGAGTACAGTGATGAAGTACATGTGAGAAGATTTAGAGGAAAGTATTCCAATAAAATTGGTTGAGAGAGAGTAGTTAATCTATCTATATCTATTAAATAGAATGTGTGTGTGTGTTTGAGGTTGGACTCCAAACACTTGGAGTTGGAGCCTCACCCAGCTCTCCAAAATGAATCATGGGGTAGGGAGCCGGTCGGCCGACCGGACAGCACACTGGGCTTGTGATCCTGTGGTCCTGGGTTCGATCCCAGGCGCCGGCGAGAAATAATGGGCAGAGTTTCTTTCACCCTATGCTCCTGTTACCTAGCAGTAAAATAGGTACCTGGGTGTTAGTCAGCTGTCACAGGCTGCTGCTTCCTGGGGGTGGAGGCCTGGTCGAGGACCGGGCCGCGGGGACACTAAAAAAGCCCCGAAATCATCTCGAGATAACCTCAAGATAAGAAGGGTATGAGAGCATTATAGGCCAGTCAGGGTTGGCCCCAATACCACACTTTAATATCAGCATCTATATGACCCCTTCCCCCACCTGCGATTTTCATGAAATCAGTTAGTAATCGGTGATGTTTCCATAAAGTGAAGCTTTTTTTTTTTTCAAGGCTTCGTAATGTGTAAACTAAATTTTCAGAGGGGTGGAGAATCTTGGACGAGAAGGGGGGAAGAAAGGTGGGAGAGGAAGGGTGTTAAGATGGAAGGAGAGAAGATTAATTAATTGGCAAAAGAAGGCACCAAGCCAGGAAGGCTGTGCGGCACCATCAAATATGGGGTGGGGGGTATTCAAAAGTGCTAAATATCTCTAAGGATGCCAATACGAGAACAAAAAGCACATAAGGCGAATGATATCAAAGGTATCTGATTCGCCAAGGATTCTATCGAAGGACAAATGACTGCGAGGGATGGTCAGGACGCAAGACACATGCACGTACTGGAAGTCGGGACATTCAACAAAGATATGCACGACCGTAAGAGGGACAATGCAGTTTGGACAATAAGGAGCAGGGCAGCGCTCCATTAAGTGCCCGTGAGTTAAACGTGTATGGCCGATGCGTAACCTCGCCAGAGCCGTTTTCCACTGCCTGTTATGGTGGTAGTAGGAAGGCCATGGGGATACGCTACCCTTAAGAGCACACAGTTTGTTACCAGTAACAGAAGACCAACAACCCTGGCAATGGGCAAGGATTGAGGAATGAATAATCGGGTAGAAGTTGGAATAAGGAACACCTTTATGGAGATAGGACAAGTGGGGATAGCCTCCTTAGCAGTTGGTGGAAAAAGTGGAGAGAGGGGGTGGATAATGGAATAGAGATTAACTGGGGAAGGTTGGGAGAGACGGGAAAGGAATGGGGGGGGAGAGACATACACACACGGGTGTTGCTAGGTACCCCCCTCTAGTATCGATATGAAAGAAAATGTCTGTCCAGTGTTGGAGGACAGATACTTAGGGCAAGCCTCACCCAACTTTTCTAGATGACACATGGGCGCTTGGGACTGCTATTGGCAGTCGGGATCAGCCACAGTACCACTCATTAAGAAGGATCATCTCCTATTCTGAATCCCAGCAACTCCTATAAGGTCTGAAATTGGGGTTTGTTTTCTTGAGTTTTTCAACAGTTTTTCAGCTGATCAGAATGATTACACACAACATAACCTCATTTTTAACAATGATAATACAATGTTGCATTAAATAACAGTTGTAAAAATAGCATTGTGGCTATGTTGTGCATTTGTTGGGATTGCATGTTCTGAGAAAGGGAAAGGGAGGAGAGGGGAGGACAGGGCAGAGAGGGGATTGCAGGGAAGGAGACCTGGGCACCACCAAATACTTTGTCTATTTATGATATAGTTGTGATGGAATCTAAAGAGAATGTAAATGAAGCTATTTGATCCATGGAACACGTTGTCATCACAATGTACGAGATACTTGGAGAACATTATTGCTCCACCTACTTAATAAGGTATTTATGGCATGGCTCTCTTATTACTTTTTACAGTTGCCACTCAAAGAAAAATCATTTCATGTACAATATCAAATTAGTGTATGTTTAACCCAAAATGTTTTGTTTATTATCCTGTATATTATGGACAAAAAGTCTAGTATATCACACCAACCATTGATGCCTAAGTAGCTGGTGAATTAGCAAAAGAATAGGTAAAAAGGAAAATGCAGTAGAATTGGCTACTTATAAGAATATCTTATTTTTACTCTGCTGGGAATAAAAAGTTTGTCCTGCTGAGGTTTCTCTTGGGGCATCTTGCTATTGTGTAGTACCACTCTCAAGAGCAGACATATTCAGGCAGCATTGTAGTACTACTGCTCGAGAGCAGACACATTCAGGCAGCATTGTAGTACCACTGCTCGAGAACAGACACATTCAGGCAGCATTGTAGTACCACTGCTCGGGAGCAGACACATTCAGGCAGCATTGTAGTACCACTGCTCGAGAACAGACACATTCAGGCAGCATTGTAGTACCACTGCTCGAGAGCACACACATTCAGGCAGCATTATAGTACCACTGCTCGGGAGCAGACACATTCAGGCAACATTGGGGGAGACTCAGGCTGTCATTTCAATTATTTTCACACCAAAAGTTTAGAATTCCCAATTAGGTTAAATTTGATGGGGAGGGGGGGGGGGAGATGCATTGGTATTTAGAATATTTTGTACAGGGTAATGGTGTATTGTGATTGTGAAGAAATGTAAAGGTGGATTGCAATATTATAGATAATTATGATGTGTACTTGTTTGTGTTAGTGTAATGCATTTTTGTAATACGCAAATTTGTGATTAGAGAATCTCTACATGCAATTAGATATAAGGATTTTCCTTCCTTTTAATTTATAAAATAATTTGTCATGTGAATTGTTGTGTGTTGCATTAGGATTAACTTGTGACTGTTAAATAATATTACGTTACTATTTATTATTGCATATGGTATGACCATTTTTTGAGAATCTGAGAAATTAAAATGTTCGCTTTATAATATATATATATATATATATATATATATATATATATATATATATATATATATATATATATATATATATATATATATATATATATATATATATATATATATATATATATATATATATATATATATATATATATATATATATATATATATATATATATATATATATATATATATATATATATATATATATATATATATATATATATATATATATATATATATATATATATATATATATATATATATATATATAAATAAAAATAAAAATAATATGCATGCATGCAATTGACGATCACTAAACACTGATCATTTGTATACGGAAAATCCACAGAGAAATGGGAGAGAGAGATGAACGTTTCGGCCGATCTGGGCCTTTGTCAACACCTCATTAATACCTTTGTCAGGTGTTGACAAAAGCCCAGATCGGCCGAAACGTTCATCTCTCTTTCCCATTTCTCTGTGGATTTTCCGCATATATATATATATATACACACACACACACGCACAAGAACAAGAACACACACTTCAAGAACAAAAGGTCATAGATTTAAACTAACGAAACAAAGTTGCTGGAGAAATATACGAAAATTCACTTTTGTAAACAGAGTGGTAGACGGTTGGAACAAGTTAAGTGAGAAGGTGGTGGAGGCCAAAACCGTCAGTAATTTCAAAGCATTATATGACAAAGAGTGCTGGGAAGACGGGACACCACGAGCGTAGCTCTCATCCTGTAACTACACTTAGGTAATTACACTTAGGTAATTACAAAACACCACACACCCACACCCCCTCCCCCTCCCCCCCACCTTGTGTATTACAAACATTCTATGCTTTTGTATCATTGCACATCAAACATTTTTATTTGTTATTTTATATGTGCTGTATTTGTAGCTGGAAAGTAGAGGTAGCATTAAATATGGGTGCTGAACATTAAATATTAATGTTCAAATAGGTATCTATTGAGTAAACAATGCAAATAGTGGACTTGGGAGTTCTCTGGAACATAACACTATTTTTTCTCATAACTTGGTTAGATTTATGCATTTTTACTTACTGTGGATTTTTCCAAGAATGTAAACTTGTATTATATGAACTTTTATATATTGTGTTCATAAAGCAGCTAAATTCATCATTGGGTTCACAAGACGATGCTTCACAAATACACATTTGAAAATTTATTGCCAAATGTTAAATTATCAAATATATTTTCTTCATTGCAACACTTAATATTTTGCTGTTGTGGCATTCTCTTATCTTTTCTCTATTCTTTCAATCTTTCCATAATGTATTTATTTACACAAATATCATTAATGTATTTCCAGACATTAACATATCACTTATTCGATACCCAAACAAGAATGTATAGAATTAATGGTATCATTATGCAGCTAACATTTTTGATCTCGTACCAGAAAGTGGGAGAGATGATCGGCAGCTAGAGTTGTGAATTGTATTTGCGTGCATTCCTATTAGGGGGTTTCAAGAAACATAAATGGGATACTAACGAGGGACCGATGTACCTGTAGGAATATTTTGTTTGCTAAAAATTTTCTGAAGGCTCTAAATCTATTGCTATAATGTGGCTTTCTTAACATTTCTGTAATTTCTTCATATTTTGAAACTTGTTAACTTGTTTAATGAGATGAGTGGAGATTGAAGTAGATATTAAGTAGCTTGCTTTGTCATATCCGCCTTACGGAGAGGATAGCCACATACTGTATTGGTAAGATGGTTGAATATTAGCAGCCTACATTATTATTGTTATACCCTACTTGGTGTTATTTAGGCCACAATTTGGCTAATATTAGAAATCACTAGTTTATTCATCCTGTTGGTGAGCTAATGATGTTGAGAACGTCTTCCACAAATTCTCTATCATATCCTGTATTATTTAGTACTGTAAGTATTGAATTTACCAGTTGTTATAAAATGGTTTTTGTAGCTGGTAAATGAGAATTGTTTTTACGAATGTATCTAATAAATTATAAAATCCAATGATTGTAATTTGTTAATTTTTTTTTTTTTTAATTTTAACACTCCAAACTATTTGAAAACTTCATTACTGTACTTTAAAATGATGTGCATAGCCTTGCTGATACTAATCGTTGAGGGTGTACTAACACTTGTATAGGTCCAGTTCTGGAGCCAGATTGTATCAAATGATTTTGAATGTACGTACATACATATACATTTGGTCACAAACATAACATTAATTTTCATATTTAAATCTGAAAATGGTAATTGATTGTTCTCTGCCTGACACCAGTGCACACACGCATACTCTTTCTCTCTTTTTACTCTTTTTAGTGGCGAGAAGACAGATGTATCTCATTTACTCACACTCGGTGATATATTGACAAGTATCACACATTTGTTAATTGTATGTTGACTGCACGTGCTGCCTCCCATTGTTGTGACTAAGTAATCATCTGACATACATTCATGTGCACAACCTCTCATTGTTTCATTATTCAACATTGCCCATAGAACTATATATACCATGTTCTTTTTACTAGCCGAAGCATAAAAATATCCAAGATGACAAAATGTATTTAAAATGTGTATATTTTAATCAAATTAGCTTTTTGTATTTTTAAATTGTTTTCCATAAAAAATTTAATACATTTTATTGGTTTGTTATTCCTCTTTCAGTGTTAACTGGCTTTTCTGAGGTACAAATCACAAGGTTATGGGGACCCTACTGAGCTGGAGCACCTAATGGTATAATTGCTATAAAAGGATATACTATCTCCTCATATCTTAAAGTTTTGTCACATAAGATGACCAAACCATATGCCAGAAGATGGAGACGACAACATTTCGGTCCGTCCTGGACCATTATCAAGTTGATTGTGGTGAGTGCAAGGGAGGTACAGGTATAAGTAATGCCCGTGTTCCTGTTCATTTTGCCCTCTCCAATACTTTGGGAAAACTGACTGTACACTAAATGACAGACTTAGGAACACAAAAGAAGAGTTAAATCTGCATACACAAACAATGCTCTCTTCAGTCATGTTAGGGATTCTAATCATCCTATTGATTGGTTTCTTCTAAAATAATCTTTCCTGCCTCTACTCTTCACAGATGTTGTCTTGTCAAATTGGCTCTGATACACAATATACCCAACATGAACCTAGTCCTGGCTTTGTTGCTTTTGACTCTTCCCTTTCACAGTACATACTCAAATGCTCTATCCTTCCTAATGTGATCTGACATAAGCCTACCCTTTTTCTTTTTCTTTCTCCTCTTATTCTTACGTATCCTATTCTTCCTTCATCCCGTTATTACACCCATCACATTCGTACCTTTCATCCTGTTCTTGCCTTTCGCCTTACCCTTACCTCCTAGGAATTACCTTCTTCTCGTACCTGCTCCTTTTTTCACTCTTGCCTTACTTATTCCCATGCCTCCCTCGCTCCCATCTCATGGGCTATCCATGCCCGTGCCACCTCTTGGGTGGCTTAATCTACATCAATCAATCTCTCCCATCACAATCAACTTAATAATGGTCCAGGATGGATCGAAACGTCATAGTCTCTTCATCTTCTGGTGTGTGGTTTGGTCATTATATCTTCAGCCATGTTATTATGACTCATCTGCTTTTGTCACATGACCTGGTCTGGGGCAATGGGTATATTCCCAAGGCATGGTTTAATGAAGATGAAGTCTTTTGAACATACAACACATACAGTTTACCCTTTTTTTTTTTAACTTAATCATTGCCCCCCCCCCCCCATTTGGATTTTGTAGGTGTTCCTATGTGGTGTCTACTTTGTCGCAGTGGTGGGGCTCAAGGACCTCGTTCAAGGCCATCAAGTTCTGTTGGAGGGTATCCTTCAACCTTGGTTGTCCTAGGAGTCGAATATCTTGTCCAGGAATACTATATGTCCTTTCCCGATGTCTATGTAATGTTTGTTGGACATTTGGCCATGGGGGGCTTTGACTTTCAAAAGTGTTCTGTTATCTTGTCCAGTTTGTGCAGTCGGGCCATGCTAAGTCTACTATCATGACCCAAGCAGTTCTCTGTATTAAATGCAGTTGTTACCACAAGACATTCTCATGGTTCTTGAACATTTTTACTGCCACTCGTGCATTACTGCTCTTTTTTTTTTTTTTTTTTTTTTTTTTCTTCTTTTTTTTTTTTTACAGATGGGTTGAAGTGTTCTGAAAATGTTGGCATCTCCATTATTTTCATGATCAAGCTTTTATGTGCCCTTTTCCCCCAGGGACAAGTATTTTTACTGCAGAGCTTTTTGGGATTTTGCACACACCAAGACACTTTTTTTGTGCCAATGATCATTTGTTTTTGTATTGTACTCCTACACATACTTCTCTCTCCTAACCTCTAGTGATAGAGAACCAACATTGGTTGTAGTACATCATTTTTAGCATATAATAATAATTATAATTTTAATAATAATTAAGTCCCAGTGTAGTATACATGTTTTGCTTATATTGAAGTACCCTTCCCCTACCCAAGCTCAAACTAATTCATGGTACCTAGGAATTTAAGTAAACCGGGGCAATAGGAAATGCAGTCAACCATTTCTGTCCTAGGAATGTTAGGTGAACAGGGGCGATAGAAAATGCACTCAACCTTTTCTGTCCCACCCGGGATTCGAACCTGGAATTCCTGATTATGAGTCAAGAATGAACCTGACTGCTGGGTTCAAGGCCACATTGGTGTTGCCTCTGTTGATCTCAATTTAAAAACATCTACATTATAATTCAGTGTTGGATATAAAATCTAATGCTAAATTGAATTATATGTACACTGTAAAGCACTTCAAAGATTTACATGAGCAAATGCATACATAAGAACAAGTACCAGAATGAGACATTAGCTTGGAGAAAGCTGACGATTGCTCATGTATCCAGTTTAATGAAGCACTTTTTTTTCAAACCTTTATCTGATTACAAGCTAATCTCAAGTGTGTGCAGTCACATGATATCCACACGGCTCCACAGATAGTGTTATCATTAACCTTACTATACCTGAGGCAAAAGTGAAGTAACCCTTGTGACCAACACATCTCCTCACAAGTTTCTTTAGAATTGTGTAACGTCTTTACATCAGACCCAACACTAGAGACTTCAGTAAGTTATAGACCATCGCTGGTCTGATTACCCAAACTACCACACATTCTGTATTAGAAAACTGTACTGTATCTGTTTTTTGGTATTATAAGTACAGAGTTATATGTAAACACTATTGGGGTACAGTAGCGATCATGAGAGAGCACCTTAATGGTAATAAATTGCAATGAGTAAAAGTGGTGCAACCAACTCCAGCACAGTTCAGTACATCTTTGATATAATTTTGACTAATGGTACAAAAGAAACTTAATTTATTTTTTAAATGCCAGGATAATCATAAACTGAGCATACCTACAAGCCCTGAAATCTACCTATATTGCTAAATGTAGATTTCACAAAGCTGGTATAATTTCGAGGGCATCTATCATTTCATGTACATCCTCTTTAATATGATCAATGTGCACTTAACTCTTCACCCCCACTCCCATCCCTCTTATGATATATGAGCAGTGGAGATACATATGTATGTGCACTTACATATGTAAGTGCATATGTCATGGAACGCTGGGGTACATCCGGCACTAGTGCCGTTGTGGTCCATAAATCAACGACAATAACAAAGATGCCGAGTTTCCTACCGTGTCTTGTTAGTGTCCTTTGTGTACAGCAAGGACGACAAAAGCATCCAAATTAGATATACCTCACGAACTTTCAATCTTTGAAATTACTGTAGTTATCAGAGTGGCCCCTCCCTTTCTGGCTCGTTGTTGTCGTGAGGGGGTTTGATGGGCGGCTGCCGGAGTGTGATGCTCCATGGGTCAGTCCTCTGTCCTTTTGAAGCCTTATGCTCCTGCTGCTCTCTTTACCAATTTTGCCAGAACTCTTTTTTTTTTTTTTTTTTTCTTTGTGTTTCATTTTTCTATCCCCCTCTTCTCTTTTCTAATTGTCATTTCCTGCTGACCTTTTGCCAGTCTTGACTATTCTTTCGGACTAATTCTGTTTTGATGCCCGGGTGTTTGGGGAGGCATACTCTCTCACCCGTAGAACTGTAGTACCCAACGTCTCGAGCGAGGGGATCCTTTTATTGTCAATCCTCATTTCGTTGCTGAACCCAATCTCGACGGACTGACAGTTCTGTGTCTCCGTGGCCTACCTCCTACTACCGTAACCGGCGGTGGGAAACGGCTCTGGCTAGGTTACGTATTGGCCATACACGTTCAACTCACGTTCACTTAATGGATCGCCGCCCTGCTCCTTATTGTCCAAAATGCATTGTTCCTCTTACAGTCATGCACATTCTTGTTGAATGTCCTGACTTCCAAGACAAGCATGTCTTGTTTTCCGACCGTCCCTCGCGGTCAATTGTCCCTCGATAGAATTCTTTGTGAATCAGATACTTTTGATATTGTTCGTCTTATGTGTTTCTGTTCTCGCATTGGCATCCTTTGTGATATTTAGCGCCTCTCTGATTACTCCGCACATTTGGTGGTGCTACATAGCCTTCCTGGTTTTGTGACTTCCTTTAATAATGACTTACTATCAGAGTGGATACAACAACAAAAAATGTTCTAAAAACTATAAAAGCAAATAAGCAGAATAAAATATTGAAACAATTGACAAATTTAAATATCAGACTCAACTAAAGTATAACATAAAAAAATATGTATGTAACGAAAAAAAATCTACATTATCGTTACATTTATTTATATTTTCAGCTGAGGGAAGTCTGAAGACAAAGCAAGTACAAGTATGATAAAAGGCACCAAACCGAAAGATTCTAGCACCGCGAAGCTCTTATTTATTTAAAGGATAAGCAAGTTTAGCTCCTTGCTCAGGCCGTCGAGAAGCGAGAGGTCGCATAAGGTGAAAAAGTTACACGAATGCCACCAAGAGAAGTGCTCAGGCGCGTAAAACGAGGAAAAGTGGCCGAAAAGTAGGGGATGAAACAGAAGTTAAAGAAACTTTAAGATAGATGGGAATTTAACTGGAAATGAAGAGAACTGAAAAGTAAGTAAATCAACTGGAAGCGAGTGTCTGAGAGCTAATTGAAGAAGACGGAAGGTTAATTATGAAAAATGGGTCAGCAAGTAAACAAAAAATGTGTCAAAAAGTCGACGACAGTGACAATCGGTGATGAAAATGACCTGTGGTAATATAGTCTATAAAGACAGTGCCAGTAGGCCAATATATGTGACGAAGTCTGTTACCGTGACAAAATAAAAGACTAATGACAAGAATTAAGGAAATGTACAGGAATGTAGTTAAAGAAAGTGATGAAGGCAGCTGGAAGTTAATCAAATATCAATATATTAAAACTTACAAAGTGTGAAAAGTGACAAAGTTAAGAATATTCATCGCAAGAGAAACTAGTGACGAAATGTGTTAAAACTTGATTGGAAACAAGCCAGGGACCGGAGGAGATCAAGCCAGGGACCGGAGGAGATCGAGCCAGGGACCAGGGGAAGGGGGCCGCCTGAGCCTCATCTGCCGACATGATGTCGATGGAAATAAGCGACAGTATAGAACTCATCAGTGGCAGAAGGTGAGACAAGCAGAGGAGAGTGAAAGGAGTAAAGCTCTTATTGTTAAGGCAAGTATCAGGGTGGAGCAGATATGTACATTTTTAAGAGATGCAACTAAGTTAAGGGTTATTAAATAAATAAAAAAAATATATATATTTGTTGGCTCCAAGTAATTTACAAATATCGTTTATGTCTTACAAATCATGTTAAACCTGAAAATTGGGGAACACCTTGCAATAATATATAAATATAATTCATTAATAATTCATTGCGTCACGGGACAGGAAGCCAGAGTATTCATACACCTTTTGGCTTTTATGGAGCCCCCCCCCCCATACCCCACCACACACAGGCCGAATTACTGGCCCCGCTCAGGATGCAACCCCTCAACAAGCTGACTAACTCCTGAGTACTTACTTACTGCTAGGTGAACAGATGCGTTAGATGAAAGGAAATGTGGCCAACTATTTCTGTCCTGTCCGGGATTCGAACCCGGAATTCTCGATTGTGCGTCGAGAACAAACCAGAGTGTACTACTGGGATGTATTAAAAGCAAGTACAGGAGACCCTAATTTAAGGAAGTACAATTCATCAATTCATCATGTATTTTCCGAGAATGAAATCTAGAATACACTTCTGGTTTTGTATTAAAAGTCAGTAAAGAAAAATATATTTAATACCGATTAATCAAGTCTCTGGACGCGTGCGCGTCACCTCAGGGGCAGCGGGCTGGTGAACTACTGGCGGACGAGGACCTCCCTGGAGAAGGCGCTGCTGGTGTCCACCGCGGCACTGGTTCTGGCGCTCTTAGGCTTCATCATTGGCGTGGCGACCCTCCGAGCTAAGGGTGAGTGCAGGGACTATCTGGGGACTTGCATCGTGGCGGACATATTTGTGGCTCTTTTAGGGGCTTTTCAAGGATATTAGCGGCTATATTTTCGGGACTAACCTAAGCTACATTTTGATAGGATTAAGATATATCTTTATTTGGGGCTATTTATAAGTGATCTAAGGATATATTTGAATCCTATACGTGAGCTACGTTTATAGCTAAATGCTGTAAGTGGTTTTAACATTTGAGGGCTGCTTATGGAAATTTTTAGGGCTAAATTTCGCATTTGTGGGAGTAGTGTGGAGAAGCAGAAGCCTACTTCTGAGATGCTATAATGGCTACACATATCGTAGGAGGATAATTTTTCGGTGCTATTATAAACCATTTTAGAAACTTATTTTTTGTGGTTGGGAGGCAACCAGGGAGGAGTGTTGGGGGGACTTTAAGCTGTCTATATGAAGGGTAAACTGGGAGCTACATTTGGAGACTATGATGATTAAGTGTGAACTATACGGGAGAGACTACATCTTCAGGCTAGAGTAATAACGTTCTGAGGCTGCTATATTTGGGGCCTAGTAAGAGGCTACATTTCTGGGCTTTTGAAAGGAACCAACTTGCATAGATATGGGACAATAATTTTATTAATTATTATTTAATAATAACTATAATTATTAAATACAAATTATAGCTTAGCAATGTACATTCTTTCCATAACTCGTTTGTGCAGTGTGAATTTAATCTTTACGTAAATTGACATTAACATAATTATGTATCAAATGAGTTAGAAAAATTAACTAAGCTATGATATTAAGGCTACTGCCACAATTGGAAGCCTAACACTTGGGGGGGGGGGTTCCGGCGCCTTACCCCCCCCCCATAAACGAATTGAAACGAGACAAGCAGTGATAGTCAAGGGAAGGGAATTATCAGGGGAAAGCGCCAAGTCATTACGAATATATAGTACTAGGATAGGGTCAGGGTAAGGATTTGGGATGGGACGGGGGGAAGGAATGGTGGCCAACCACTTGGACGGTCGGGGATTCAACGCCGACCTGCATGAAGCAAGACCATCGCTCTACCGTTCAGCCGAAGTGGTATTACATGTGGGGCATTTGAGCCTGTGTGTATATAAAGCCAAAACAAATTAAAGTTGTCAAGCGTCACCAGAGTGGCATCATAATCGCCACAGCCATCATGTTCATATTTGTTTATCCTTTGATTTGGCAGCTAGTGATGACGCTCAAACGATCCAGAAGTTGACTGACGACCTGCGTGTGTGTGAGGCTCAGGTCTTGAGCAGCACCTCGACCCCCGCTACTACCACCACCATTATGACGAGCAGCTGCAGTCCCACTACTCCCAGCAGCACTACTCCCAGCAGCACTACTCCCAGCAGCACTACTCCCAGCAGCACTACTCCCAGCAGCACTACTCCCAGCAGCACTACTCCCAGCAGCACTGTTTCCAGCGACACTACTCCCAGCAGCACTACTCCCAGCAGCACTGCACCCAACAGCACTACTCCCAGCAGCACTGTTTCCAGCAACACTACTCCCAGCAGCACTGCTTCCAGCGACACTACTCCCAGCAGCACTGTTTCCAGCGACACTACTCCCAGCAGCACTGCTTCCAGCGACACTACTCCCAGCAGCACTGTTTCCAGCAACACTACTCCCAGCAGCACTGTTTCCAGCAACACTACTCCCAGCAGCACTGTTTCCAGCAACACTACTCCCAGCAGCACTGTTTCCAGCGACACTACTCCCAGCAGCACTGCTTCCAGTGACACTACTCCCAGCAGCACTGTTTCCAGCGACACTACTCCCAGCAGCACTGCTTCCAGCAACACTACTCCCAGCAGCACTGCTTCCAGTGACACTACTCCCAGCAGCACTGTTTCCAGCAACACTACTCCCAGCAGCACTGCTTCCAGTGACACTACTCCCAGCAGCACTGTTTCCAGCAACACTACTCCCAGCAGCACTGCTTCCAGTGACACTACTCCCAGCAGCACTGCTTCCAGCAACACTACTCCCAGACACACACAGCCTTAATCCTTTTACCCTGTCGTAGCTCAGTCGTTTAAGGCAGTGTCTGGGATGCTCCCGGACGCAGGTTCGAATCCTCGTCACGGCCCTTGTGGATTTGTTCACTACTTCCAGCAGCACTACTCCCAGCGACACTACTTCCGGCGACACTGCTCCCAGCAGCAGCATTACGCCCAGCAGTGGTCCCACGACAAGCCAATGGCCAGCATCAAGCTAGGAATCGGTCTAAAGTTCTATCGCACATTTTACATCCAAGATCCCTAGTGACCCAAGTCTTGTATAGGGATCTAGATGAAGTAAAGTGTAAAGTGTGTGGACAAAGACCGGGACACACACTCGAACACTATATCTTGGATTGTAGTAAAATTGAGCCATTTAGAGATAAATCTAAGCTCAAGCTGTATGATATGACAACCTATCTTATTACTAAGGATAAAATGCCTGAAATCCTTGCACTGTATCCATATTTCACGTCCAGTAGATAAACGACATATGAGATTAAGAAACAAGTAGTGTATTGTAAAAACTAATAATAAACAGCAGCTCCCCTATGACTGTAATATCTCCATTGCTCAAACAATTATGTATTAACGATAAGACCTACCATGTATGTATATTGATTTACTTTAAATATATAACTCTTGAAATATAACATTCTCTGTAACTAGCTGACATTGTAATTATAAGGTGTGAAGGATAGATGAAATTGTTTATATAATAACCTAAGTTGAGGTCTAATAAAGACCTCTTGTGCCCTCTGTAATGCTTTTTGCGCTACCGCTCACATGATGAGTATCAGGTGCACAATAAACCAGCCGCCTCCGCCGGGAGGCAACAACAAATTCAAGTCCCCCATGAACGCACTCGTCCGTTCACGGGGACCCAGGACTCCAGGCCCGATGAACGCACTCGTCCGTTCACGGGGACCCAGGACTCCAGGCCCGATGATCGCACTCGTCCGTTCACGGGGACCCAGGACTCCAGGCCCGATGAACGCACTCGTCCGTTCACGGGGACCCGGGACTCCAGGCCCGATGAACGCACTCGTCCGTTCACGGGGACCCAGGACTCCAGGCCCGATGAACGCACTCGTCCGTTCACGGGGACCCAGGACTCCAGGCCCGATGAACGCACTCGTCCGTTCACGGGGACCCAGGACTCCAGGCCCGATGAACGCACTCGTCCGTTCATGGGGACCCAGGACTCCAGGCCCGATGAACGCACTCGTCCGTTCACGGGGACCCAGGACTCCAGGCCCGATGATCGCACTCGTCCGTTCACGGGGACCCAGGACTCCAGGCCCGATGAACGCACTCGTCCGTTCACGGGGACCCGGGACTCCAGGCCCGATGAACGCACTCGTCCGTTCATGGGGACCCGGGACTCCAGGCCCGATGAACGCACTCGTCCGTTCACGGGGACCCAGGACTCAAGGCCCGATGAACGCACTCGTCCGTTCATGGGGACCCGGGACTCCAGGCCCGATGAACGCACTCGTCCGTTCACGGGGACCCAGGACTCCAGGCCCGATGAACGCACTCGTCCGTTCATGGGGACCCGGGACTCCAGGCCCGATGAACGCACTCGTCCGTTCACGGGGACCCGGGACTCCAGGCCCGATGAACGCACTCGTCCGTTCATGGGGACCCGGGACTCCAGGCCCGATGAACGCACTCGTCCGTTCACGGGGACCCAGGACTCAAGGCCCGATGAACGCACTCGTCCGTTCATGGGGACCCAGGTGACTCAAGGCCCCATGGACGCACTCGTCCGTTCATGGGGACCCGGAACTCAAGGCCCGATGGACGCACTCGTCCGTTCATAACAATCATCAATCACATTAGCTAGCTGCGGTTCAGTAAGGTCGCCCTCATCGAGACATCTATCACGCAGCTTCTTCAAAGGCACGGAGATGCTTTCTCCCTGCCATGCTTTGATTATTTCTATTGAAACTTGCAACCGAGGACCCCAAAGTACTTTCTATTAATAGTGATATAGATTAGATCTCCAAGCGCATATAACTGCAGTAGGGAAATTTATTGCGTACTCACCTAGTTGTAGTCGATGTGTGTGCGTGTGTGTGTGAGCTTAATATTTCGCGTTGAACGATATTTTACCAAAGGTAATGTAAAAACTATTATAGCTGTATAAATATTTAAAGGTTAAAATGGTAAAAATATGGATCATTAGTGGCAATTAAAATGCCTATACGCAACCGTAATTAAGAGATTGATGGAGAAGAGACGCTGCAGCCATTGGATACAACAAAGTCTTGATCTATACCCACCTGGTCATGAATGCCCCAAGTCTGTCTCTATATTAAGACCAACGTAGAGAATATATCTACAAATCTACCCAGTTTCATTCCCTCCAGGAAGAGGACAAGGAGGAAGTGGCGTTGTAACAGATTTTCAAATCTAGCTTCTTAGTCTTCAAGACCACACATGGTGGGCCAGTATATAGTCTTTTGACCATAGTAAGATATATACCGGCAAATCCCCACCTACTCCTTCCTGCCCCACCAATGCACCTTCAGGAGGGATTACTCCCAGTGACATACGAGATTTGGTTAAACCAAAGGAATGTAGCGAGAGAAAACATTCAAAGTACCCGCCGGCGGGAGTTTGTCCGCCTTCACAGGCAGTGCTGAGTTCTGATTGGCGGAGGGCGGCGGCCCGTGCGCAGGTGGCCCGCGCAGCCCGGGGCGAGGCGGCGACGGAGACAACCTCAGGAGTCCGTTCATATCCAGCTTTATAATTTTGGGGCCGTCTTCACTTGCTGGCAGTAACCATGAGGGCTGCGCCCACCTATTCGTGACCCACACCTACCAACGGAGCCCAGGAGTGCTTCTATCACTACCCTGGAAGGCTACATACTCAAGGTGAGCCTCTTAATTCTGTAACCATTGTTACCTCGTGGAGGAACGCCATAGTTAACCTAGCTCTCTATAGGATGTTCAGAGAGCAACTACATGACCTAATTCATATGTTTATAATATTTATGGAGAGACTGCCTATAAGCAGTCTGAGAGCAATAATACACCAAGACCTTCAACAAAGCCGTGTAGATCTGAGCTAGGTAAAGTGAAAACGACACCATTGATCTATCATCATACTATCATGCAAGAACAGTCACACATCTATGGATCACCCAGTACAATAAACACGCCTAGATGTAACTCTGGACGGTAGAGCCACGGTCTCGCTTTATGCAGGTCTCCCTTCAATCCCAACGGAGGCCTCAATAAAAGCCTAACGTGCATACACTCTAGCTTCTTATACACACAGAAATCACAATAGCGTATGCATCAAATGAACAAATCCACACGGGCCGTAATGAGGGTTCGAACCTACGTCCGGGATAATCCCAGACGCGCCTTATTCGACTGCGTCACGGCATGGTCAAAAGAATTGCAACCGGGAGTGCTACTGCCCTCACACGGATCCTGCAGCCTCTCTGAGATACAAACCAGGGTTTTACACAATTCCCCTATGCACCCAGGCTCTGTCAACAAGCTGTTCTACCTATTCTCCCTAACTTCAATACACACATAAATCACATTAGCGTGCAGCATCAAATGACATAGGTTCGATTATCCCATAGGTATAAGTAATAGGTATAAGATTATACCGGACGTAAGTTCGAACCCCTCATCACGGCCCTTGTGAACTTGTTCGTCTCTAGCTTCTCGTCGACGGACACAATAAATTATTATGAATTAATATATAAATGGTTGAGGTTATGCCTACGAGGGGACAAAGCTGGTCAGCATTAGGTACATTCCCGCCTTATTTCACTTCCCTCTTGTGACAGAGAACGCTAAACTGGCTGGAGTATAAGGGCTAACTAAACCCCTTTTGGTGGTAAACGCATTTGAATTAGAAATACTATTTAAAAATAGCAGTAACATCAGTTGTCATAGTTATCGCATTTGTGCCATTAATAATAATTGTAGTAGAAATATCTGTAGTAGTAGTATCTGGAATTTTTTTCAATATGTTTAAAAGTAGACGACATAAAACTTCTGCTAGCAGGCTTAGATTCCCATAGCTCTTGTAAAGCCATACCCTACTAGTTTTCCCTCTAACACTACCCATCAATTGGGTTACAACCACGTCCCCAATTGTTGATGGGTGAACAGGGGCGAACAGTTAAGGATTGGTGGGCCATCAATCTTATCTGGCCAGGGCTCGAACCAGAGGAATTGACGAAACGCGGGGCGAGTGCGCTACCATAGCGACAGAGGAGTTAAGGTAATTAGGAGAAAATGCTGCTGTTGTTGTTTTAGTTTCAGCTACTCTGAACAAAAAGTTCCAAGTAGCACAGGCTATGGTGAGCCCGTAGTGGACTTATCTAGAAAGTGCTAAGCCATTACGACTATATAGCACTTGGAAGTGATGAGAATGACTTGGAATAGGACGAGGCGGGGGCGGGGGGGGGGGGGGGAGAATGAATGGTGCCCAACCACTTGGACGGTCGGGAATTAAACGACCTACAAGAAGCGAGACTGTCGCTCTATCGTCCAGTCCGAGTAGTTTGAGTAGTAGTATTAGTGGTAAAGGTTATTGGTGTGGTGGTGGCCACAGACGTACTACTAAGTAGTCGTTGTCATTTATTAAAGTTTCATTAAGCCTAATATGTTTCCACATGGCTAGAGCCCGTCAAGTGGCGTGAATAATTTTTACCAGTAGATAAAAATATTAAATTTCTTCTTAAAAGTTCCCTAGATTTTACACGAGGGCCACCATCTCTGGTGGTACTCGAGAGGGACAGGAAGCTGGCGGCTTATCAAGGGTGGTCCCCCCCATTATTCATAATTTTCTTGTTTAACAGATGAATTTTGATGAAGCACTAGCAGGAAATAGGCTAGATCTTGTTAATTTTCCATTAAATTTATTCGTGCCAACCAGATGTAGTAGTGAATGGAAAATGAATGAACATTCATTTAGGCCCCTTAACTCGACGTTTGGTTCAGCCCACAACGCCAGTTCTGTTTCTATTTCAATTATTTACCTTTTAAATTAAATTAATTAAATTTTATGTGTAGATATAGGACGCTTAAGACCGCCAGGTTTAGTGTTCCCAGCAGATAAGAGTTTACAGTCTACCTCGACATGTTATCTTTTCTCCCGATATAGATCACAGACTTGGTTATATATATTTTTTTTATTATTAATACATTAGGTACATCTACATTTGTGCAGCTGCCCTAGACTATATGAAGGGGAGTACAGTGTGTCATAAAGCTAGCTACAGTGTAAATGTTTCACCTTCGATATACAAATACAAATAATTGCCAACAAAATAAACAACTAGCCTAATCTAGGGCTAACTATACCCTAAATTTGAATATGAAATAATATGTAATTCTTATGTGAGAAAATACCAGTTTTGAATACACAATAGGTTACAATTTAGGTATACATCGTAGAGGTCGTTCACTGTTTGAACGAGCGTAGCCTAGCCATATAGCCTAACCGTATAGCCTAACCATATAGCCTAGCCATATAGCCTAGCCGTATAGCCTAGCCGTATACCCGAGCCATATAGCCTAGCCATACCTAACATTGTGTTCATCCCTTAGTGGGTCAAGTGGAAGCAAATGTAGTAGTTTTTGTAACTATGTTCACCATAGTACAAAGATGGACGTAAAGTAATTTGATAGTAGAATGTTGAACTATTCACTTTTATAGTCCGAAAAAAATGAAGCTAAAAACCAAACTTAAATATTCCTAGGCCTAGTATAGCACACATATGTACTATATTAGGCCTCAAATATCGTGTATCAGGCCTAGGAAGGTTAGGTTAGGCTAGTTTAGTTTGTCTTTGCAACATAAATATAAAACCTTTTCCGGGTTCTCCAAATTCAATATGATTTCTACTTTCTAATTACGTTGTACGTCGGTATATGTACTATGGTCCTCATCGTTACTATAAGTACTACCAAAACAGGAGGATGGGCTCAATAATATAATCAAAACATTGCTATGATCGCAGGCGATGAGTCACAATAACGTGGCTAAAGTATGTTGACCAGACCACACACTAGAAGGTGAAGGGCCGACGACGTTTCGGTCCGTCCTGGACCATTCTCAAGTCGATTGCTATGATCTTGTCAGTTGTAAATAGTGTATTCTCTCCTATCATAGTGGTAGATAAACGTTTACTCAACAATTATTGCTCATACGGCCACTCTGATGTTACTATTTTATTGAGATTATTATAATATTATGTATAAATAATGATATGGCCTTCTGAATGTAGCCTGATGAAGAGCCAATGTTATCAGGAAACTTTGATAATTTTAAGGGTCACTCTGCCCCTCCACCCGAGTGCTTGTGGGTCACACGTAAACACTTGGACTGGCTTCAGTAGCGGCCTCCAGACTTACTGTGATTTCAGTAGAAATCCGGTTGAATATGGTTATTTTAAGGAGTCTGTTGTGGTCCAGTGGTACAATCCGCGACTGGCAATACCGAGGTCGTAGGTTCGTACCCATCTATAGTCCTAGTTAGTGCATTTTATCATTCTAATTAATAATAATAATAATATTATTATGGGAAATAAGTACTAGTAGTATTATATTCAGCACACTTTATTATTTAAATATATACAATATACAACAATTTGTGAGACATCGTTGGAGCAAGTCATAACAATTATATTGACAGAATGACTGGGCGATGGCATGATATACTGAATGGAGGATGATATACTGACCGGATGTTGACATCATACCGGACGATGGCATGATATATTGACTTGATGATGTATGGCAACATGATAACATGGTATTCTGACTGGACGATGGCATGATATATTGACTGGATGATGGCCTAATGGGGAGAAGGTAACTGGATGATAACTGAACAGGTTGAGATAAAATGCTGACTGTTCAGATGACGATAAATATGAATTAAGTGACTGAGGAACTGGATGATCACCAAATATGAAACTGACAGACTGGTTGATGACGTTGAATTATCACTTAATGACTGGATAATCACCTAATGACTGATTGAACATTTAATGACAGGATGAACACCTAATAACTGGATGATCACTCAATGACTGCATGATCACTTAGTGATTGATCACCTTTTGACAATATGAACACTTAGAGACTGGCTGACTGACTGGTTAAGTGACGAGGATGATTGCAAGTGATGGCAACAGCATTAAGAACACTGTTCAGAAATCACGACCTACGTACCTGTTGGACTTTAAGACCAACGACCTACCGAAGATCATGGGCCAAACCACTTAGGAGGAGCGAGAGTTTGAGAGCTCCTTCTGATTATGTGAAATAGATTCCATGGTACTTGTGAAACTATTTTCACTTGGTTATCACGTTTGGGTTTTAAGAAAATACGCAAAAAAAACACATATTCATTCAAAATATGAATTCCAGTTTGAGTCCTGGTTGACAGGCCTTAACAACCCTTCAGGTGTAGACAAGATACCAGATCCAACACCAAACCATAACTGCAATCGCTCAGTGTTCATTCAACTATTGCCAGTTTTTGGTTTCACAGATAATACATACTTAAAAAACTTTTTTTTTGTATTTGGATATTATTTTGAGAAGAGTTGATGGCAGTACATGACAACACCAAGTACGACACCCCGAGACACTAGCGACCTCGGACGCAGCCCGTCCTCGCACGACACCCCGAGACACTAGCGACCTCGGACGCAGCCCGTCCTCGTACGACACCCCGAGACACTAGCGACCTCGGACGCAGCCCGTCCTCGTACGACACCCCGAGACACTAGCGACCTCGGACGCAGCCCGTCCTCGTACGACACCCCGAGACACTAGCGACCTCGGACGCAGCCCGTCCTCGTACGACACCCCGAGACACTAGCGACCTCGGACGCAGCCCGTCCTCGTAAGCAAAGGTCAAAGTCTTGCACCCGTCTGACCCGCTGTTCATCAACCTGGGGCCAGATTCACGAAAGTACTTACGCAAGCACTTACGAACCTGTACATCTTTTCTCAATCTTTGGCGGCTTTGTTTACAATTATTAAACAAGTAATGAGCTCCGAAGCACCAGGAGGCTGTTTATAACAATAACAACAGTTGATTGGGAAGTTTTCATGCTTGTAAACTGTTTAATAAATGTAACCAAAGCCGTCAAAGATTGAGGAAAGATGTCCAAGTTCATAAGTATTTGCGTAAGTGCTTTCGTGAATCTGGCCCCTGTCCTCTTAAAAAGAACGTCGCTTCTGGCCGTTGCCCGTATGGCCGAATATGGATGTAATTTGAAAATTAAAATAAATTGAAAATAAATTTGGGATTTTTTTTCAGCAACAGTAAGTTAAGGGTCCTCTGATAGGTTAGGTGGGCAGGAAATTCTCAAAGTTTCAAAACGTTATGAAAAACGTAAATTGAAAGTTCCTCTTCTAAGCTGTCCGAGGAGGGCCGGACGACTCAAACAGAAAACGGAACAGTACGTCACTTTTGTGAGTCGATTTCATTTCAAATTACGTCCAAATTTGGCCATAGTACTGAATGAAAAACGGTTTACACACGACTCACAGCTGATGACGTTCCAACACTTCTCGAAAAAAGTGCTTCGCTCACGTTCTCTGTTCGAACCACAACTCTTGTAAATGCTTCACCCACGTACTACAAATACAAATAATCGCCAACAGAGCCTAAACACCTAACCTAACCAATGCCTAAAATATCCACAATTGCTAATATTTAACAATATTAATTTATGTTTAACAGAATTTCGATTTTGAATGAACAGCGTGTTAAAAATTGACGACTGCGTCGTTGGGTCGACCGCTGGATGGAATAGACTTGGTATGAGGACGGGTTAGCTGACGATGGCTCTGGGACACGCTGGTGCAACACCCACACACACACACACGTGAACACTCACTAATAACACATCAGGTGAATCATAACACACTGTCCGAGGTAAGACTTATACAATCTTTGACTTTTAACGTCACGAGTCTATGGGGTATTGAAGGCCCTGAACGATGGACTCAAGTCACTCCTCCAGTACTTTCAGACTTTGGGCTGATAACTGCAAATGTTTAAAGTGATTCCTTGAATATGGTCACAACTTACACTAACTTTGGTTAGTTGATTCTTGCACTGTACACAGGTGTCATAAAACTTAAACTTCATCTTTGGGGTGACACAGCTTCTAGACATAGTTTCTGAACAATTGGGCCCAAACTTGAGCGCGTTCTACAGCGTTCCTCACGGTAAGTTGGGCGTATGGCACAGGTCCTCAACTGGACTTGAACATGTCGCAGAGGACGCGTTCAATGGGTGTATTACCGACGGTGCGCTTGAAGAAGATCTCCTGGACGGCGGTGGCGGAGACGTGGCCAAGAGCAGGCAGCAGCAGGAGGAGCTTGCCGGCACGCACTCTGCCCCCGGCGCCACACACCTTGCTTGCCAGGTACTGTTGACAGACACGGGCATCATGTTAGTGACGTGGCTCTCTTATACTTATTATTGTCCGCAACGCTGTAAATGTTGCGGGTCTCTCTCTCTATCTATCTATCTATATCTCTCTATATCTATATATATATATATCTATCTATATATATATATATATATATATATATATATATATATATATATATATATATATATATATATATATATATATACACACACACACACACAGATGAAGATGCCTTAAGTCGAAGCTCTAAAGGTAGAACAGATAAACGTCTATAACAATTCATATATATCATATATTTTTAAAGAAGTAAAGAAAATCTTACGTAACGGGAGTCTTACCTACAAGCAGCCTCGTAAATTAGCAACTCTGTGTAACCTCCCTCCCCCACCCTCCCAAAAAAAAACCACAATGACGTCACGCAGGAACGTACCCAAGTAACGGCCAGGTAACAGTCACTCACCTCATGAAGCATCAGCTGGGTTTGATCCTGCAATACCTCGACACCGTACCCGTCCCGCAGGCCCCGGGCCTCTGAAAGCAATAACAACACTGTTTTAGAACAGCCGTCTCAAATCCCATTTAGAAGAGGCGTGTCAAAAACCCCACATTTAGCAGTGGCCAGGTTATCTAGTACTGAAAAACAGAATGACGAAATTTGGCTTACTAAAAATATTTACAGTCAGGAGAGGGAATGACAAATTTGACTCGGGGGGGGGGGGAAAAATTAGTCACCTTAGAAGAAGCACAGCACAGTCACCCTAGAACGAAAAGCAACACATAGTCACCCTGGTCCAATGAGCGGACGACTGACCTGGACGAAAGAGGATGAGAGCCTTGAGGCAGGCGTACTCGGTGTGGTCGACCCTGAGGGCGTGTAGTCTGGTGATGACATCGCGCATGGCCTCCACCTCGCGGGCCAGGCCGGCCTCCTGCTCCACTGACACACCTGCTCCCCGCACCAGGCTTCCTGTAGGCAGCAGGGGGAAGGGCTCGTGATGCATACAGTAGGATCTATGTGGGGAGCTCTAGCTGTAACTAAGGTAGGATCCACATAAGGGGTCGTAGAATGTGGTAGTGAAGGATTATACGGACGAGGCTCCTTCCCGCCAAACACACGAAGTTTTAACACCTAAAACTTCGGTGTTTTATATAGGCATAAGGAGCCTATATGGATGAGGCTCCTTATGCAGCCTCTTCCATATAAGAGGCTACGTAAGGAGCAAGTGTAAGATCCAATATTAGGAGGGGCTGTGGAAGGAGTTAATTTAGGATCCATTTATGAGGCTGTTTAAGAAGTTGTTGTATGATCTATATGAAAGGCTGAAATCTAAACTCCAATCTAACTAACACAGACCAACAATTTATGTTCCTCCATGATAGTGTTGAGGGTAGGGAAGGTGGAGGGTGAGCTGTGTGCATAGGCAAGGAAAGTGCTTAGTGATGGGATAGTCAGTATAGCCTCAGGTGATGGCATAGTATAGCCTCAGGTGATGGGAGTGTTGAGGTAGGGTTATTGCAAGTGCCGAGGTTTACGTGTGGTGTTCCATCCATGTTTAAAAGGGATACTGTAGGATTCTTGCACATGTTGAGGATGTGTAGAATGGGTGTTGTAAATTTCCTGTGAACGAAGGGAGTCATAGGTAGGCCTGTGATATGTGTAGTGAGGTATTGGAGGACCAAACGTAGGCCTATATCATGTGTAGAAAGACTAAGTGTAGATCTATAACATATGTAGAAGGATATAGGATGTCAGTTGTACATGACTGTAGTAGGTCAGGTGTAGAGGGCTGTGTCGCCACATGCAGAGGAATGTCTGAGGTCAGGTGTAGAGGAATATATGAGGCCAGGTGTATAGGGTGGGTGAGGTATGTCAGGTACATAGGATTGTCGAAGATCAGTTGTAGAGGGGTATGGGAAATCAGGTGTAAAAGGAAGAGAGTTGTCAGGATAGAGTTATGGGAAGTGAGGTGTAGAGGGGCAGTTGTAGACTTAAGTGGGTCTTCCAACAACACATCACCAGACCTTCCCTGGAGCACTGTACAACAGGTTCCTCACCCGTCTACATCCAACTACCTACATTAAAACAGCACTCCCATTTAGGGATCTTTGGTTCACTGGTTTTGTCGTAGAGCTGTACACTGGCTGTTAAAATAGCCCTATCATAAAAACAAGTCAATTGACCTAAAATGTTTGGCGTCAACTACGACAAACGGCAGTCGTTGGTGTTCTTACCTTCGTCGAGGGGAAGCGACCACTGGGCGGCGGCGACGACGAAGAGTTCACTCCACGACTCCTCCAGCAGGATGGCCTGGTCACGGAACGGTAGCTGGAACAGCGAACATTTTTGTTATTTATGTACACAAGAGTTCTTACATTTTTGTACAGCCACTAGCACGCATAGCGTTTTGGACAGGTTCTTAATCCTAATTTTCCCTGGAATACGACCCGCCAAATCGTTTAACAACCAGGTACCCATTCACTGCTGGGTGAACAGAGGCGGACAGTTAAGGATTGGCGCCTAGTCAGTCATCACCATACACTTTATTGCACTTATACATTATTATTATAACATCTTTATTGACAAAGTTGTAAATACAGGTATTTATTTATTTATTTATTTACAAGAAGGTACATTGAGTTTGTGAGGGTACACAGCATGGTGTTTACATTGTTGTAAAGCCACTAGTACGCGCAGCGTTTCGGGCAAAATAGCTAAGCTGTCTTCCTGATTCAATTAAATATTTACTGTTGATATAGAAGTGGCTAGAAGGTCTAGCACAGTAGCAGTTAGATTTCAATAACAGAACTCAGATGCATGTTTTAGTGGTAGTTAGGCAGATGTACCTGGAGCGAAGCCTCATCCTGGCAAAGCCTACACATCACAGTGTTGGTTGCACGGGTCGGTTGGTGGGCTAGAATTTAGGCTTCAGGCTCAGGACCAGGGTGCTAAACACCTCAGCTGGAGACATTCGAATACTCGGCCAAAAATTATCTACCAAACAAGGGGTGCTGTGAGTGAGGGCAACCTAGTTGATTGATAAAGATTAAGCCACCCAAGAGATGGCACGGGCATGAATAGTCCGTAAGCAACCTAGTTGTTTCCAGCGTACAAACACAACAATTGGAACGCGCTAATCATCCGAAATACACAAAGGTATGTGATACATACCATGGGACCACAACAGGCTGGGGACCGAAACATTCTGTCTCGTCGACAATTCAGAAATTGTATTCATGATATTGTATAGAAGTAAATGTAATTATTGCTACACCTAACTGTACAAAAATAGTGCAATTCTAGCTTGTGAACTTTAAAACCTAAACAAGTAACGTGTAAAAGAAAAAAATAATTATAATAACGATATTCCATTAAATATGAATAGCACCCATTAATCATAACTTTATCTGCATATGAATTTCATTATTATAAGGAATGAATCATTCAGTAAGCGCTTCAGGGTATGAGTTTTGTACGCGCGCGTATGTGTGTGTGTGTGTGTACTCACCTAGTTATGCTTGCGGGGGTTGAGCTCTGGCTCTTTGGTCCCGGCTCTCAACCGTCAATCAACAGGTGTACAGGTTCCTGAGCCTATTGGGCTCTATCATATCTATACGTGTGTGTGTGTGCGAGCTGCCCATCTTCCTGTTTTGGTAGTACTTATAGTAACGATGAACACCATAATACATATACCAACGTACAACGCAATTAGAAAGTGGAAATCGACACCCTGAGTTGGACAGATTGATTGATAAAGATTAAGCCACCCAAGAGGTGGCACGGGCATGAATAACCCGTAATGAGTTGGACAAACCGGAAAGCTATTTTATATTGTGTAAAAGAGGTGGGGGGAGGGGAAGATCCTATTACTCCTCATTGGTGCTCATGCAGGTAATGAGATATTGTGTTGGGTGATGAGAGGCATCAGGTGTATAGTGCAGGTAATAGTGATGAAAGTGATGGTGAACCTTACTAACAACAATAGGTACATCACACATAACAATTAGAACAATAGCAATGTTGCAAACAAAAAATAAACACCAGAAACGGCACAAATAGTAAACAACTGCAACTGCAGAAGTAGCACTAGAGATAATAAACAGAAGAAACAGTAACATGGTAATAGGAGTAACAGTAGGACTACACGAACAGGTGTAACACATACACAGAAGCACCGGGAACACCCGTCACATCACCAGGAACACCCGTCACATCAGGAACACCCGTCACATCACCAGGAACACCCGTCACATCAGAAATACCCGTCACATCACCAGAAACACCCGTCACATCACCAGAAATACCCGTCACATCACCAGGAACACCCGTCACATCACCAGGAACACCCGTCACATCACCAGGAACACCCGTCACATCACCAGGAACACCCGTCACATCACCAGCAACACCCGTAACATCAGAAACACCCGTCACATCACCAGCAACACCCGTAACCTCAGAAACACCCGTCACATCTCCAGGAACAACCCAACAAAACTCAGCAACAGGAACATGGGAACAACCATCCAAACGCCAATAACTGTACCAAGAAAATCATTAGCACACAGAAATTAACCTTATTAAAAGCAAAGACGCAACGAAAATAACTGTTACTCTTGCAACTGTCGCAAGAGTAACAGTTATTGATACCTGAGTTTCGTGCATATGACCTGCAATCAACATGACCTCTTGCATCAACTGTTGCAAGAGGAGCACACACCTGCATGAAAGAGGGGATGGACCTCGCCCACTTCACTCCCAGGAACAGCAGCTTGGCGGCGTTCTCGTAGACGCTGTCTGAGGGCGTGATCACCAGGGCGCCAGGGTCGATGGTGATGGGCGGCGCTGCGCCGTGGTGGGCTGCGCTGATGGGCGTAGTAGGGCCGCTGCTTGGAGAGGGCGTGGTGGGCGGACTGGCCGGCGAGGGCGTCGGTGCCTTGGCTTCTCTAGAATGTGGGGTGCCGGATTCTGGCTTGTCTAAAGCGAGAGGGAAGGAGAACGGTTGGGTCATGTTATATAGTGGAATGGTAGAGGTATGGCAATGGTTTTGGTGGTGGTTATTATTGCAGTTATAATATTACTGATTGCGGTGACAATATCGATGGTTAGGGCAGTAGTTAGTGGTTAAGGCAACGAAGCGAAGGTGTTTTGGGAAAAGCGTTGAAAGTCTGGAGAAAGTGAGGAAAGTCCTTTGCAAGCGGATATTATACATTACACAGGGAAATATTGAATTAGCGGAAAGAGCATCAGCGCTCGGGAGGCTCACAAAAATCGAAGAAGGTCTTGTGTAAGCGAACGTCTTAATACTAAAGATTAAAAATTTATTAGTGAATTCGAGCAAAAATCAGATAAATAAATCACGAGCAAAAAAATTAAACAAGGCTACAGAACACAAATATATATTGTGAAAGTTATAGAAATTTACAAGAAACATTGGCGAGGTTGGAAGAGTGGGATAAAAGTTCGTAGAGCGCAAGAGAGTGCAAGAAAAATGTACCAAATTCTGTAAAACTAATATTGGACAATAAGCACACTGCAGTGAAGGTACGGTGAACACGGAAGGTGTTCTGAACAGGTGACATGTCTGGGAAAGGTGTCTGGGAAAGGTGTTCAGGAAATGCAAAAAATTATCGGCAAATAAATTGAAGGTTTTCGGGAAATTTAAAACTTACATAACTGAACTTCGCTTCTCATCTCGACGTTTATTAAAGGTTGAGAAAGCTCCACCTTCGGAGGAGCTTTCATTCCATGTAGCTTCGATCTTAGAAGGTAGCTACTTACCTTCGCTCGCTCAGTGTTCCTCAAACCTATCACATTGTGCTTCTAATTCAAATTTTAAACCATATGCACTGAATGAAGCTGGTACAAGTTGAAGGAAAGCTGAAAGCTGCGAGATGAGCGCTAGTTAAGCATGTGTCTCTAGTAATAATAATAATAATAATGGTAGAATTATCCCAAGGAAGGTTGAGACGCACCAGTGGTCTTGTTACAGTTGTCTGTAGAAAACACGCTGAGGTTGTTGTTGTTGACTCTGTCACTGTTGTTGTTATTGTTGTTGCTGGCGGTGGAGGTGTTGTAGCGGATGATGGCGGCAGCGGCGGCGGCGCAGGAAGTGTTCACAATGGTCCTAGCGAAGTCGGAGCTGTTCACCTCTGTCTCGCTGGGAGGGGACGTGCCGCGGCGCGGGGGGCTGAACGCCGAGCCTCCATTGGTCGCGCGGCAAATCTCCGCCAAATTGCTGATTGGCTGTCGGTGATCGACCGTTGGCGGTTTCAGCTCAAGACGATCTATGATTGGTGGCTTCAGGCCAAGGCGCTCGCTCAGTGGCGGCTTGAACTCCAGACGCTCCCCGGTGTGTGGCTTGTACTCCAGACGTTCGCTGATTGGGGGCTTTGAGTCGATGGGCGGCGAAGGGGAGTGATGAAGGGCGGTGTCTGAGTACGGGCGGCGCAGCTCGCCACCCAGGATGGCTAGGTTAGGCTTGAATGCAGAGTTATGGCTGAAGTGTAGGTTGAGGGGTGCCATGGACGGCGTCATGGGCAAGAAGGGCGGCTTGAAGGGCATGGGCGGCAGCAGAGCCGGGTAGTAGGGTGGCAGGGGCGGCAAGCCTGTGCTGCCACCCACTGACACGGGGGGAAACCCTGCCGCCCCTGGCATGTCTGGGGCGAACATGGGTCTCTTCTGGCAGGAACGAGGCGCCCGCTCGTGTTGCACAGCTGAGGGGAGAAAGGAACATGGCGTCAGACTACAAATGGCACTCTCCTCCCACTTTAAATTTACACTTGAAAATGCACTAATAGTTACAAAACCTCACCAATGTGTACTGAAGCCTATGAATAAGATTGAAGCTTCCAGTTCATTCAATATTCTTCCTCTTCTTGTTCTTCCTCCTCCTTGTTCCTTCAAGTGACCTCACTGGACCTCACACCTCGGTTCAGCTCTACATCTCCAATCGATGACTATGAGTGACTTAACGACAATCTAAAGACTGCGTTTACGTGTGCGTGCCGGTAATGAGCATCAGCTCCTGGCCCTGCACCTTAACAATCGCTAGATTTGTAAATATAGGTTCCAATCCCCCATGAGTTCTTTTATAGTCCGAGGTTAACCGAACCTGCTCCTTTACTAACCCGAGGACGTGCGCCTACACAGCCTGGTGCCCTAGTTCGTCCTGGCTTCTATCTTTACACTTATCAAATCACTTGTTGATTCAAGGAGGACAAGAGAGGCTCCAGGGCACACAGGGGGGGGGGGGGAACCTGTATAACACCTGTGTCTTGGGCAACGTGGTCTGACTCATTAATGGTGTGGTACTATGGCAGTACCATTGTAGTCCCTCCTCCTGTCCCCATTATTGATTTGATTGTTGCCTCCGTCGGAGGCGGCTAGTTTATTGTGCACCCGATACTCATCCTGTGAGCGGTAGCGCAAAAAGCATTACAGAGGGCACAAAAGGTCTTTATCAGACCTCAACTTAGATTATTACATAAATAATTTCATCTATCCTTCACACCTTATAGTTACAGAGAATGTTCTATTTCAAGAGCTGTATATTAACAGTAAATCATTATACATACATGGTAGGTCTTATCGCTAATACTTAATTGTTTGAGCAATTGAGATATTATAGTCATTGAGGAGCTGCTGTTTATTATTAGTCATCACAATACACTACTTGTTTCTTAATCTCATGTCGTTTATCTACTGGACGTGAAATATGGATACAGTGCAAGGATTTCAGGTATTTTATCCTTGGTAATAAGATAGGTTGCCATATCATACAGAGCGAGCTTAGATTTATCTCTAAATGGCTCAATTTTACTACAATCCAAGATATAGTGTTCGGGTGTGTGTTCCTATCTTTGTCCACACACTTTACACTTTACTTCATCTAGATCCCTTTACACTTTACTTCATCTAGATCCCTATACAAGCCGAACTGCCAGAGATACATGTAGCCAAGTCTTATACGAGCTGTGACAACATCTGTTAGTCTACTGACTTTGTTACTTACCCCATACACATGTTTTACTTCACACATTTCATTGTGATGAACAATGGACCTGCTAGTTCCAGTTTGCCCTGTTCTACTTTCTTCAAATCCATCTAGGAGTTCTCGTCTAATGACACTTTTAAGGGACGTATTTGATAACTCAAGATTCCGTTCAATACTGCTTTTATTTACTGCAGCCTTAGCAAGGGCGTCAACTTTGTCATGTTTCTTCAGGCCAATGTGAGAAGGCATCCACAACATTTTTATATTTATCCTCTTGCTAAGTATGCTTATATATCTATTTCTGGCTTCCAAGGCAAGCACGTTATTACTTGATTGCAAACTGTTTATTGCTACTAGTGAGTAAAGCGAGTCGGAAATAATTAAGCTGTCTACTTCAGTGCTGTCAATAATTTCAAGTGTTACCAGTATTGCTACCAACTCAGCTTGCATTGTGGATGCCCAGTTACTAATTCTTATATTCCTTTGAATTGTGCTGCCATCGGGCTGATGGGCAATAACAGCACTTCCTGCCCACCATGTGTCCCCTCCATGTGTTCCCTAGTCCCCACCATGTATCCCCTCGTCCCTACCATGTGTCCCATCGTCCTGGTCCCCACCATGTGTCCCCTGGTCCCTACCATGTATCCCCTCGTCTAGATTCAAACTAGTCTAGTCTTTCCTTCAAGAACGATGGCCACAAACTTCCCTTGACAAGGTTGACGCTCCAAGACAGAGCGCTACACATTCGGTGATTGGTCTGACGTACGTGATGAGTGCTGTGTGAGGTCGTGTGAGTGTGATGTGTAGGCTTGTGTGTGAAGGGTCGGGGGGAGGGGGGCCAGCGGCTGCAAGTGACAGGCGAGAGTGCCACACACAACACCCTTTTATGTTATTATTAGACGAGAGTGAAGGACCTCTGGCTGTGTTTGTTCGGGTGTAAATGTGCTCTCACTATATACATCAACTGGTGTGTATATACACCAGTTTATGTATATAGACAGTTATATATATATAATATATATATAATTTTATTAAATATGGCGTTGTTGATCTTATAGTATAAGCTTTCGAGGCTTCTGTTTTTTTGCTCGTGATTAAGAAGAACAATCAGGGGTCAGATTCACGAAGCAGTTACGCAAGAACTTACGAACATGTACATCTTTTCTCAATCTTTTTCGGCTTTGTTTACAATTATTAAACAGTTAATGAGCTCCGAAGCACCAGGAGGCTGTTTATAACAATAACAACAGTTGATTGTGAAGATTTCATGCTTGTAAACTGTTTAATAAATGTATCGAAAGCTGTCAAAGATTGAGGAAAGATGCACACATTCGTAAGTGTTTGCGTAACTGCTTCGTGAATCTGGCCCCAGGTTACCGAAATTCACGATAGAGATAGAAAGATCTTTCTAGATAGAAAGATCTAGAAGTTGATATCACGCCAAAACTGTCTCCTGAAGGCCACATGAAAAGAATAACATTGGCGGCGTATGCGAGGCTGGCTAACATCAGAACAGCCTTCAGGAACCTGTGTAAGGAATCATTCAGAATCTTGTATACCACATATGTAAGACCAATCATGGAGTATGCGGCCCCAGCATGGAGCCCGTACCTTGTCAAGCACAAGACGAAGCTGGAAAAGGTTCAGAGGTATGCCACTAGGCTAGTCCCAGAACTAAGAGGCATGAGTTACGAGGAAAGGCTGAGGGAACTGCACCTCACGTCGCTGGAAGACAGAAGGGCTCGGGGAGACATAATCACCACATACAAGATTCTCAGGGGAATTGACAGGGTAGATAAGGATGGATTATTTAACACGGGTGGTACACGCTCAAGGGGACACAGGTGGAAGCTGAGTACCCGAATGAGCCACAGAGAAGTTAGAAAGAATATTTTCAGTGTCAGAGTAGTTAGTAAATGGAATGCACTAGGAAGTGATGTGATGGAGGCTGACTCCATACACAGTTTCAAATGTAGATATGATAGAGCCCAGTAGGCTTAGGAATCTGTACACCAGTTGATTGACAGTTGAGAGGCGGGACCAAAGAGCCAGAGCTCTTGGCTATTTGGAAGCAGCTGTTACGGAGCTGTTTCCTGCGTGTGTGTGTGGAAAAAATAGTAGTTAGTAACAGTTGATTGATTGACAGTTGAGAGGTGGGCCAAAAGAGCAAAACTCAACCCCCGCAAGCACAACAAGGTGAATACAACTAGGTGAATACACACACACACACACACACACACACACACACACACACACACACACACACACACACACACACACACACACACACACACACACACACAACACTCCACAACACAAGTGAGTGAACACACACGTTGCTAATGCACCTTTTATGTCCAACCTCCCTCACTACCCCCCAGCCTCCCTCATTGTCCCGGCCTGGGGGTCGAACCCGGGGTTCCCAACAGTGAGTGGAGAAGGCAGACAAGTGTGCTACACGACCCTATGTGTACTACCAAGGTTGGCTGATGACGGGTTGCAATATTCTCTTCTTTGCATCTCTTTCGTATTCACTTCTCTCTTTAAGTCACACTTCCTGTCCCAACCCGTCCTTCCTCTGTCTATCTGTCAGCGTGAGACAGGCTGTCTCTCCCATGGTCTCTGTCTCTAACTGACTGGTTCCCTTATTAAAGAACTGCTGAACGTGTGTGTGTGTGTGTGTTCCTCTGATAAGTCTGGAGCTGGTGCCATGAACACAGTATTATATAAAGTGTTTGACTGTATACATGTTCACTTTCCAGTTGATCAACTAGACATTTGTGACTTGCAGTTTGCATACAGTTGCTGATTGTGGTTACTCTACAACACTCCTACAGTTCACAAGGTTGTTCTCTTCTCCCTCTGTTTCTTGATGCTGCTAAAGCTTTTAAAAACGTTAAGCATACCAAGTTTCGTGTTGAGAGAAATGCTTAGCAAAAAAAAATCACTAGATATCTATCAATATATTTGTTATTTAGATATATATCTAGTGGAAATTAACTGTGATATGGAGTAATATGCTCTCTGAAAATTTCTCACTAAAAATGGGGTCAAACATGATGTTTATAATCTTCCATTGTTTTCTGGCTCATTGCATTATATATATATATATATATATATATATATATATATATATATATATATATATATATATATATATATATATATATATATATATATATATATAATATATATATATATAATTGTTGCATAGGGGTCATTAACCCCCAGGACCCGTTTTATCTAGATCACAAACTAAAGTTGCTAGTCAGAGATTCCGGTACACTATTTTCAAGGCCACATCCGGGGCTTTATAATACATAAAGCTGATATAATATGCCACATCCGGGGCATGTTATATATTCTAATAGACACTTGTCAGTTCTCCTCGTGCTATTAGAGACGTGAAGGTCAGAACAAATACCAAAGTGCGCGAATTTGGTTATTATGACACTTGGTCGTAAGAAATGTTACAGTTAATATGTTTGTTTAATCATCAGTAGTAGTAGTAGGCATCCATTAGTCTCAGGAGACTATGGAGTTGTGCTCTGATTGTCGGTCTGGAGTGTGTGTGTGTGTACTCACCACATTGTGCTTGCGGGGGTTGAGCTCTGGCTCTTTGGACCCGCCTGGTGTGTGTGTTTGGAGGGATGTGGACCCGGGTTGGCCCCTGAGGTTGAATGGTGCGGGTTGTGCAAATATCCATAGCTTCATGGTATGATTAGCTCGTATTAATTCTATTATTGTCCGATTATCATCCCTAATGTTGTGATATATAAACTGTGTCAGTATCTGTCTGGCTCCAACACTCACTTCTCCAGCACACATCACCTTTCATAGTTGTAAACTGTGTAGGTTTACCCCCCCCCCCTGAATGTAACTGTGATTTAGACTGCTGTAGACCTCTTTGGTCCCTCCAGTGTCGTGATGACCTGTATAAGTTGTATAGAAAATTCTGGGTAGATTCAGATTCTTATTCCGTCCCCAACCTGCCCATGCCCCTGCCCCACCCCGCCCAACCCACCCATGCCCCGCCCTACCCTACCTCACCCCACCCACCCCGCCCCACAACCCCCGCCTCTGGCAAGTGGTGACACAGTAACTTATGCAGGCGGGATGGACGTGTCTTGTTGGTGGGGCGTCTCCCCTTTTGTCTGGGAACACTGTCACGTGCGGCCGCCCCTCTGCTCTGGCTACACTGTGTAACCTGATGCTTCTCACCGCTCTGGTCATACTCTGCAATTTACTGTTACCTCTCCGCTCTGGCTACACTGTTGTGCCCCCCCCCCTTCGTTCTGGCTACACTGTGTAACGTGTTGCCGAAATACAGGCAAATGACAGGCTTACAGAGTGCCAATATAGATGTAAGCTCACAGAATGCCATTACACATTTAAGCTTACATATCGCTTTCATTCATGCGAGCTTAGAGAGTGCCAGCATACATACAAGCTTGGAGAGTGCCAATATACATGTAAGCCTAGAGTGTCAGTATACATGCAAGTTTAGAGAGTGCCAGCATACATACAAGCTTGGAGAGTGCCAGCATACATACAAGCTTGGAGAGTGCCAGTATACACGCCAGCTTAGAGAGTGCCAGTATACATGCCAGCTTAGAGAGTGCCAGCATACATGCCAGCTTAGAGAGTGCCAGTATACACGCCAGCTTAGAGAGTGCCAGCATACATGCCAGCTTAGAGAGTGCCAGCATACATGCCAGCTTAGAGAGTGCCAGTATACATGCCAGCTTAGAGAGTGCCAGCATACATGCCAGCTTAGAGAGTGCCAGTATACACGCCAGCTTAGAGAGTGCCAGTATACACGCCAGCTTAGAGAGTGCCACCTACCGTCCTTCTTCATGTTGACGTCGAGGCACTTCTTGAAGCGACAAGCCTGGCACTGGTTCCTCCTGGTGACATCCACCACACAGGTGCCAGCCTCCTTGCAGACGTAATCCAGCGTCCTGAAGTAGCAGACACTAAGTAGTATTAGAGCAGTAGTCGCAGACAGTGGCAGCAGAGGCACCAGCCAAGTAGCAGAAGTGAACATTGAAATTGAAATAAGTTTATTGAGGTAAAATACACACAAAGGGATGAGGTAGCTCAAGCTATTCTCACCCCGTTCAGTACATCGTGTTAATACATACATAGACACACATCACAAATAAACATGTTGGAACAAGTGAACATGAGTTGGTTATGTAATATGTCATATATGGTCCAGTGAAGCGAGTGGTAGTTAGCGGCAGTTGGGTAGTTATAAAGCAGCTGTAACAAGGGGGGGGAGAGGGGGGTTTAGACTCACTTGTTCCTGTAGCGTCTGATGGACCTCTTGAAGAAGCCGCGGCACCCGTCGCAGGAGGGCACGCCGTAGTGCTTGCCCGAGGCCTTGTCTCCACACACGCGGCACGCCGCCTCCCCGCGCTCCATCTGTGCCCACACGTCACACGGGGTCATATTTAGAGCAACACGGGGTCACATGAGGTCATATAGTCACACGGGGTCACATGAGGTCATATAGTCACATGAGGTCATATAGTCACATGAGGTCATATAGTCACACGGGGTCACATGAGGTCATATAGTCACACGGGGTCACATGAGGTCATATAGTCACATGAGGTCATATAGTCACACGGGGTCACATGAGGTCATATAGTCACACGGGGTCACATGAGGTCATATAGTCACACGGGGTCACATGAGGTCATATAGTCACATGAGGTCATATAGTCACATGAGGTCATATAGTCACATGAGGTCATATAGTCACACGGGGTCACATGAGGTCATATAGAGTCACACGGGGTCACATGAGGTCATATAGAGTCACACGGGGTCACATGAGGTCATATAGAGTCACATGAGGTCATATAGTCACACGGGGTCACATGAGGTCATATAGTCACACGGGGTCGCATGAGGTCATATAGTCACATGAGGTCATATAGTCACACGGGGTCACATGAGGTCATATAGAGTCACACGGGGTCACATGAGGTCATATAGAGTCACATGAGGTCATATAGTCACACGGGGTCACATGAGGTCATATAGTCACACGGGGTCGCATGAGGTCATATAGCCACATGAGGTCATATAGCCACATGAGGTCATATAGTCACATGAGGTCATATAGCCACATGAGGTCATATAGCCACATGAGGTCATATAGTCACACGGGGTCACATGAGGTCATATAGAGTCACACGGGGTCACATGAGGTCATATAGTCACATGGGGTCATATAGAGCCATACGGGGTCACAGGGTCACCTAACAAGGGTCACCAATTGCCATCAAAGAAGGAAGTTGCCAGGATCAATAAGCAATAACACACAGCAAGACTCAACCACACAAACACATTAGTTAACTAACTCTCAGCACTCAGCGAAGATTAACCAAGTTAGTGCGGTAAGAAGAGTTAACACAAAGATAACGCTATCAACCAAGGAGGAGCAGAAGGCCAGGCGCTGTAGTGCAGGGAACCCTCCAGGTGAAGCCACTCTGTCTCAGATAAGCTCCAGGTTATACACACACGCGTATATTTCGAGGCTGAGTGGCTGAGTGGATAGCGCTCTCGGGGGTCGTAGCCCTAAGGGGCCCGGGTTCGATTCTAGGCCGACGCGAAACAAATGGGCAGAGTTTCCTGATTTGTCTGTTCATCTAGCAGTAAATAGGTACCTGGGAGTTAGTCAGCATGTACGGGTTGCTTCCTGGGGATGTATTCACCTAGTTGTGCTGGCTCTGGGTCGAGCTCTGCTCTTTCGGCCCGACTCTCAACTGTTAATCGATCAACTGTTACTAACTACTAATTGTTCCCCCCCCCCTCCCCCCAGGAAGCAGACCGTAACAACTGTCTAACTCCCAGGTACCTATTTACTGCTAGGTAACAGGGGGCATCAGGGTGAAAAAACTGCCCATTTTGTTTTCTCACCGGCGCCGGGAATCGGGCCACAGGATTACGTGTCCAGCGTGCTTTCCACACAGCCACCGGTGCCCCTGGCGGCGCCACGGCATGTGTCAGGACATGTGTGTGTGTGTGTGTGTGTGTGTGTGTGTGTGTGTGAATGTCGGAGACAAATATATGTAGTTGCCATAATAGAGGAAAAATAGATTTGGTTAGAAAGGCGGGACCTAAGAGCTAAATAGCTCGATTTTTGCAAGCATAAATAGTAAATACATAGTGGGACTCCACAGGCCAGTCAACACAACACATCACACCATCTCTCGTATTAATTAAGTTTTCAAAATTAATAATAACAGTTGAATAACAAGAAGAAGAGTAGTCAGGTAACGAGTGTAAAATTAAATGTTAAACTGCGTTAAATAATGTAATTTGAATCAAATGTTATATATATAATATTGGCGTGTGTGAAAGAGAATTACTTCAGTACTGGAAAGGGGGTCCAGATGACCAGGTGAGGTAGGAGAAGGGCCAGGTGAGGTAGGAGGGCCTAGGAGGAGGGCCAGGGAGGTCCAGAGGTAGGAGGACCAGGTGAGGTAGGAGGTAGGAGGGCCTGGTGAGGTAGGAGGAGGGCCAGGTGAGGTAGGAGGAGGGCCAGGTGAGGTAGGAGGAGGGCCAGGTGAGGTAGGAGGAGGGCCAGGTGAGGTAGGAGGAGGGCCAGGTGAGGTAGGAGGAGGGCCAGGTGAGGTAGGAGGAGGGCCAGGTGAGGTAGGAGGAGGGCCAGGTGAGGTAGGAGGAGGGCCAGGTGAGGTAGGAGGAGGGCCAGGTGAGGTAGGGAGGGCCAGGTGAGGTAGGAGGAGGGCCAGGGAGGTAGGAGGAGGGCCAGGTGAGGTAGGAGGAGGGCCAGGTGAGGTAGGAGGAGGGCCAGGTGAGGTAGGAGGAGGGCCAGGTGAGGTAGGAGGAGGGCCAGGTGAGGTAGGAGGAGGGCCAGGTGAGGTAGGAGGAGGGCCAGGTGAGGTAGGAGGAGGGCCAGGTGAGGTAGGAGGAGGGCCAGGTGAGGTAGGAGGAGGGCCAGGTGAGGTAGGAGGAGGGCCAGGTGAGATAACAGAAGGCCAGGAGATGTAAGAAACAACATGTGGCCAGGTATCTCCAACAGATTACCATTCAACTCCACTAAGCCTTCAGGATGGCCCCTGTAGGTGGCCATCAATGACCAGAAGGGTGCCACAGGGAGGGCCAGGTTAAATGACACAGTGCCAGGTGAAGTTAGACCATACCAGTAAGTTACCACGTGAATTCCAATGAAGCTAGAGGTTGCCGGTCAAGTTCCAGATGAGGCTGAAGGTTGCCAGTCAAGTTCCAGACTTGGCTTGAGACTACCTGGTGAGGCCAGGATAGACTTGAGGGCGTCGGATGAGTGCGTGTGAGGCCAAACAGTGCCTGGCACCAGGACTGGGAGAGTACTGCCAGAGGGAGGCGGAGAGGCATTGTGGGAGGCAGCAGCTGATGCCTGACCTGTTTGGTTCTCTTGATCTAATCTGGTGAGATCTCTGGCGGCTGGTGCCCCTGATACTGGCGATCTTGGTGATGCCTGGTAACCGTCTGCCTTGTCTTGGGGACCTCTGGTCACCTTTAGGTTGTCTTGGTGACCTTTAGGTTGTCCTGCTGACCTTTAGGTTGTCCTGCTGACCTTTAGGTTGTCCTGGTGACCGTTTGGTTGTCTTGGGGACCTCTGGTCACCGTTTGGTTGACTTGGGGACCTCTGGTCACCGTTTGGTTGTCTTGGGGACCTCTGGTCACCGTTTGGTTGTCTTGGGGACCTCTGGTGACCTTTAGGTTGTCTTGGTGACCTTTAGGTTGTCCTGCTGACCTTTAGGTTGTCCTGGTGACCGTTTGGTTGTCTTGAGGACCTCTGGTGACCGTTTGGTTGTCCTGGTGACCTCTGGTGACCGTTTGGTTGTCTTGGTGACCTCTGGTGACCGTTTGGTTGTCTTGGGGACCTCTGGTGACCGTTTGGTTCTCCTGGTGACCACACCGCACCAAGACAGTCATTACTGGAGAGCGAGTCACCACTAGACCAGTCACTCGGAATGGTTACCATTTAAGCCAGTCACTCGTCAGCCAGTTATGAGTCAGTCAGCCAGTCAGCGGGCGAGAGTGAGCGCCGCTGACACAGTCAGGAGGGAGCCAGTTAACCAGTGGTGGGCCCAAGTGGCAGCGTTCTCACCTGTGTTGACTGCCGCAATGAAAAATGACACCTGGGTCGACCCCCAACGACCCGTGACGCTGATAATGAATATTTGATGTGCTCGATGACTGCCATTGTGCTCCCCCTCTCTTTCCCTTCTCTCCCCTCTCTTCTCTCCCCTCTCTCTCTCTCCCCTCTCTCTTCTCTCGCCTCCCCTCTCTCTTCTCTCCCCTCTCTCCTCTTACTCTCTCCTCATCCTCCTGGGGTGGACGGTAGAGCGACGGTCTCGGTTCATGCAGGTCGGCGTTCAATCCTCCACTGTCCACAAGTGGTTGGGCATCATTCCTTGCCCCACCTCGTCCCATTCCAAATCCTTATCCTGATCCCTTCCAAGTGTTATATAATAGTTTTGGCTTGGCGGTTTCCTCTGATAGTTTCGTTCTCTTTCCCCTCAGCTCTCTCTCTCTCTCTCTCTCTCTCTCTCTCTCTCTCTCTCTCTCTCTCTCTCTCTCTCTCTCTCTCTCTCTCTCTCTCTCTCTCTCTCTCTCTCTCTCTCTCTCTCTCTCTCTCACCAACTCACCAAAAAACAACTTTTTACATAATTAAAATATAAGTTGCTGTCCGATGTGAGTGACCTTGTCCCATAGTGACCTTACCCCACAGTGACCTTGTCCCATAGTGACCTTGTCCCACAGTGACCTTGTCCCATAGTGACCTTACCCCACAGTGACCTTGTCCCATAGTGACCTTACCCCACAGTGACCTTACCCCACAGTGACCTTGTCCCATAGTGACCTTACCCCACAGTGACCTTGTCCCATAGTGACCTTACCCCACAGTGACCTTGTCCCATAGTGACCTTAACCCACAGTGACCTTAACCCACAGTGACCTTAACCCACAGTGACCTTAACCCACAGTGACCTTAACCCACAGTGACCTTAACCCACAGTGACCTTACCCCACAGTGACCTTACCCCACAGTGACCTTACCCCACAGTGACCTTACCCCACAGTGACCTTACCCCACAGTGACCTTACCCCACAGTGACCTTACCCCACAGTGACCTTAACCCATAGTGACCTTACCCCACAGTGACCTTAACCCATAGTGACCTTACCCCACAGTGACCTTAACCCACAGTGACCTTACCCCACAGTGACCTTAACCCACAGTGACCTTACCCCACAGTGACCTTAACCCACAGTGACCTTAACCCACAGTGACCTTACCCCACAGTGACCTTACCCCACAGTGACCTTACCCCACAGTGACCTTACCCCACAGTGACCTTACCCCACAGTGACCTTACCCCACAGTGACCTTAACCCACAGTGACCTTAACCCACAGTGACCTTGCCAGGCATAGTCTGTCCATCATAGTGATGGACAAGTTATGCTTTTCTATACATTACGATCCTCTCGCCCTTAAATAATCATTCTTTATGGGATCAAACCCTTTAAACCCTTTAGTCAAACCCTTTCAGGTGTTATATTGTTGTACTGGCTTACGCCCAACCACTTGGCGTAGACGGTAGAGCAACGGTCTCGCTTCTTGCAAACTGGTGTTCAATCCCCGACCGTCCAAGAGGTTAGGCACCATTCCTTTCCCCCGTTCCATACCAAACCCTTCCAAATGCTATATACTCGTATTGGCTTAGCTCTTTCTCCTCAGGTTTTTGTCAGTAGTCAGAGGCTTTCGTTGCATAGGGGTAAATGTGCACTTAAGCTGCAGGAGAGGTAGTGAGGGAGTGGGACAGGCAGAGAAAACCACCTATTGCTCTGTCGAGTAAATAAAGCTTCGAGAGCAGAGGCCACATGGGCCAGATTCACGAAAGGACTTACGCAAGCACTTACGAACGTGTACATCTTTCCTCAATCTTTGACGGCTTTGGTTACATTTATTAAACAGTTTACAAGCATGAAAACTTCCCATTCAACTGTTGTTATTGTTATAAACAGCCTCCTGGTGCTTCGGAGCTCCTTAACTGTTTAATAATTGGAAACAAAGCCGCCAAAGATTGAGAAAAGATGTACAGGTTCGTAAGTGTTTGCGTAAGTGCTTTCGTGAATCTGGCCCCAGGAGAAAGCTCTGAGCCAGTACGACTGGATAGCACTTGGAAGGGATAGCCCCCAGGGCCCTGGAATCCTCCATCCGGTGGTCGTCCAAATCCAACATTGGCTGTTTCTTACCTCCAGCAGATTTAAGACAGTGGAATTTTGCTGGGTGTTCAGCCATATTGGTGTGTCCTTAAATAAGCATACGGGTGCTGCCGCTAAGGACGCTATCCGCACTTGTCCTATTTCCCGCAAAGGCGCTGCTTATTCAGACTTCTACATAGTCATTCCTTAATCCTGGCCCGTTGGCAGGGTGGTTGGTCGTCTGTTACTGGTAACACATTGCATTACTGGTAACGTTACTGGTAACAAGTTGTAGGAGGACAGGTTGGGAAGGATAGAAGAACAGGGAACTGAGATAGGATGGAGGGAAGGAACGGTCCAAAATATAATTCATGTACTTTATATGCATCTATTTATGTATATGTACTTATATGTATATGTACTTTATAAGTATATATATACTTTATATGTATTTGAAACTCACATATATCCTATATATATCTTTTATATGTGAGGAAGAAATCCAACAGCAAAGACACATACAGAACCATCAATAATGTTATAAAACAGGAATATGTATGGTAATGATGACCGAACCATACGTCAGAAGATGGCGAGGCGAGGAGGTTCTGGGGCCAGATTCACGACAGCACTTACGCAAGCACTTACGAACCTGTACATCTTTTCTCAATCTTTGGCGGCTTTGTTTACAATTATTAAACAGTTAATGAGCTCCGAAGCACCAGGAGGCTGTTTATAACAATAACAACAGTTGAATGAGAAGTTTTCATGCTTGTAAACTGTTTAATAAATGTAACCAAAGCCGTCAAAGATTGAGGAAAGATGTACACGTTCGTAAGTGCTTGCGTAAGTGCTTTCGTGAATCTGGCCCCTGGTCCGGCCTGGACGGTTAGACCATGTCCCACGCCCAAGGGATATAATAACAGGATAGGTGGGATACGATAACAGGATAGGAGGTGGGATATGACCCTCCCCTTGTGGCGGAATGAACGCAATAAGATTGTAACTGAATAGGATTCCTGTCTAGAGTTCAAAAACCTGATTTTGGTGTTGTTAAGATTCGCTACTTGGAACAAAAAGTTCCAAGTAGCACGGGCTATTGTGAGCCCGTAGTGGACCAGCTCTGAGTATGGTAGTGGTGTTGATCCCTTGTGTGCGCCGCTAGGGGTGAGATTCCCACAAGATGTTCGTTCATGTGTCATGAACTCTGCCACTGGTGATACGTGTATCTTTGCCAGACAACACTGCTCAATTGGTTTCCTTTTTTTTCGTTTACAGCTCCATTAGCTTGCATTGACGGGGGTTGAACTCTATTATCCATGTTTTATGTAGCCGAATCTCCGCGAGGAAAATCTGCCCACTCACCGTTGTTGTGTGTGTGTACTCACCTAGTTGTGAGTACACAACTCACTTGTGAGTATACGCCTTCAGTTGGCCTCTCAACTGTTAATCAATCAACTGTTACTAACTACTAACTACTTTGTTTTCCTCTCCACACCCACACACACACACACACACACATCTGTGAATTAAACCTCAATTTACGGGAATTAAACCTCACTTCGCTGGAAGACAGAAGAGTTAGGGGGGACATGATCACCACATTCAAGATTCTGAAGGGGATTGATAGGGTAGATAAAGACAGTCTATTTAACACAAGGGGCACACGTACTAGGGGACACAGGTGGAAACTGAGTGCCCAAATGAGCCACAGAGATATTAGAAAGAGCTTTTTTAGTGTCAGAGTGGTTGACAAATGGAATGCATTAGGAAGTGATGTGGTGGAGGCTGACTCCATACACAGTTTCAAGTGTAGATATGACAGGGCCCGATAGGCTCAGGAATCTGTACACCAGTTGATTGACGGTTGAGAGGCGGGACCAAAGAGCCAGAGCTCAACCCCCGCAAACACAACTAGGTGAGTACAACTAGGTGAACACACACACAGGAAGCAGCCCGTAACAGCTGTCTAACTCCCAGATACCTATTTACTGCTAGGTAACAAGGGCATCAGGGTGAAAGAAACTGCACGATTTTGTTTCCGCCGGCGCCGGGAATCGAACCCCGATCCATATGATTACGTGTACAGCGTGCTGTCCACTCAGCCACCAGCACCCTGTGTGTGTGTGTGCGCGCGCGTGCGTGCACATGCGTGCGCGTACCCATAACCTTCCGAGCAGCCACTAACATTAAGCAACATGTAATCACCCTCGTCAGGTTCTAATTATCAAATGATTATCATCAACCGCCATGTTGACAGAGTCTCGACAAAGGCGGTCAGTCCTGGGATAACTTGTCCTAGTCTACCAGGCGACGTCAACACCC